CCCGGGAGAGCGCCGTAAGCCAGGCCCCCGAAGGCCGGCATCTGGACCTGCGGGGCTGGAAGGGGTCTGACCAACATGGGAACAGTGACTCTGGGTGTCCTGCGGGACAGAGGGTAAGGGCCGGGGGGTGGGGGGAGGAGTGACTCTGGGGGTGTTGACAAAGCCTGGGGCGGGGACCGCGGGGGCAGTGGGGGTGGACAGAGGTGATGTGTTCGGGACCGATTTCAGGACACAACAGGCTGGACCTGACTGGAGCAGCAGAGGGGCCAGTAAGGCAGAGACAGGCACCAAGGCCAGTCCTAGATTTTTGCCCTTGAACAACTCGGTGAATGCCAGACCCGTTTACTAAGACGAGGGCGAGGCCGTGGGAGGTGGGTGAGGAGCACAGTCGGAGGCTGCGACTTGCCCTATTGACAGTGGGGAGCCCCGAGCCCCAGAAACATGGGCGCCCTCGGCACACGGCCCCCTGGTCCCTCCCCTCTGCAGCTTCAAACCGTAAACGACCGCACGCTATCGTGTGACGACGGTGCACAAGAGAATGCCTCACGTCTGACCTCCTCCAAAGGAAAACCCCGATGTTCTGAGTAACGTCCAGCATTGTGGGACGCTCACATCATACTTATTCCCACGGAGAATCTCAACAGTAACCCTGCAGGCCATCTCCCGGGTCACAGCCGAGGAAGGGTCTGCGGAGGGTCATGGGCTGGGGTCACTCCGACGGCGCGTGCCGGGGTGCGGCGGTGCGCCCGGCGGGGCAAGTCCCAGCCTTGCACCCCGGCTCTCTGCCCCCAACCTGCCTCAAACGTTCACCCCTGCGGTCGTATTTGTGCTGCCGGTCTGCTACGTACAGAAAGAAGCTTTTTTTTTTTTTTTTTAAGGATAAACTGAAGTCTGAAATAATTACAAATTCTGATGTAATGGAATCTTTGCTTTAGTTTCCCGATGAAGCCTTTAGTAAATTAATAATAGAGCAACAAAAATAGTTTCTGGAGGGTGTTTTCAGCATCTTTTTTTTTTTTTTTTAATATAAAATGGCAAGTGGCTGTTTTGCTGTGCGAAACTCTCTGGATCACAATGCAAGCACCAGTCTGCGCTCGGGCGCACGCAGACGCACGAGGGAGAGCTGTGACATTATTAATCACTGTGTTCAGCTATGATTGATGGGCTCTTCCGCGGGGAGGGGCGAGTGCCTCAGATGCAATCTGTCCCAACAGCTCTGCGATATGCTAATATTTCCCTCGGATGAAAGAGGAGATGAGATGTGTTCAAATACCCGCTGAAAGAGGCAATGAATGCCGAGAGCGCCACGGCAGAGCTGGCGGGAGTGGGGTTGGGGGAGTAGGAAGCCTGTGTGTGTCTCAGCGAAGGGCCCCATCTGGGTTTGACGGTCTTCTCGCCGGGCACACGGCCTGCACGCCGGTACATTCGTCCACGCCAGCGCGGTGTTATCACGCTAGGGCGTGTTTATAAAATGGCTGTGATTCTGGCAATTGTTTCTTTATCCCTCAAGCCATAATTTAAGTTTCTCTTTTAGAAAAAACTCACCTGTTTAAGAAAATGGATCTACCCATCTCTTTCGTCTCTCCTGCACGAGGACATCACAGACCAAGCAAGCAGCTCAGTGCCCTGATCGCCTCCTAACTGCCTCTGAAATGACGCCGGCTGCATCGGCAGAACCAGGGCAAGCCCGTAAAGCCTGTGCCGGATGGCCGGCCGTCCGACAGACCCGCGAGGCACGGCCGGCCGGGCAGACCGGACGTTCTGGCACGGCGGCGCCCAGGCTGGAAGCAGCCCCCCTGACTTGGGCGGCGGTGTGCTACGGCAGGCAGCAAACAGCTTGGGGCCTGAGGCGTGTTTATTTAATCTTTCTCTCCCCTGTCTGTAACCGAATGACACACTCTGGAACTCCAGCCTTCACTTAGGAAGAACCTTTCTGTGTGTGCGGGGGGGGGAGCGTCACGACATTCCCCAACACCCGCTGTGCGCTCAGGGAGGTCAGCTACGCTTCCTGTCTCTCTAGACCCCCAGCACGGCTGCAGGGAGCACGCAGGCCCACGGGGACAACGCCGCCACCAGAGGCTGGTTCGGCTGCGGAACCTAATTCCAGGCTGTGGGTAGCGGGGAGAAGCCTCCCCGTGTTTGTGAAGGGTCACGCTGGGAGGGCAGAACACACTGGACAGAACTCGAGGTTGCAGAACATGCAGGTCCGGCCGGGCTGGCCACGTGCTCACGACCAACAGAGATGCGAGTCCGTGACTCTGGGTCTGCACACCCTCCTGACTTCCTCCCGGGTGGGCCGAGACCTTCTTCCTTCACGGCCTCGGCTGGTTCCGCCGGGGTTCTCCGAGTCTCACAGGCTGGAACCACCCAACGCCTCGGGAGGAGGCTGAGGGGGAGCCACCTGGTGGCGGGTAGAGCCCACCACAGACGGGGTTTCAGTGGCTGCTGAGAACTGGCCTCCCTGGGGGGGCAGGGGGTCTAACACTCACTCTCACTCATTCTTCTCACGGCCCTGAAGTCGGGGCAGGACGGCGGAGACCTGCCCAGAGCCCCCCCGTGCAGACGGAGCGGCCGAGCCCACGCTTGCGGCCGGCGTGCCGGTTCCCACCCAGTCCCTCTGTCTCCTACAGGACCAGGAAAGCAGAGGACCTGGGGACCAGGGTCCCCGCTACCCGTCCAGTCAAAGGCGCGGAGGAGGAGCCAAAGGAGAGAAAGCACAGTCAGGTCTGTGACCGAGTGACACACCGGGGCCAAAAGGGCCAGGGCATGCGAGGCCCGGAGGGGAACCTGCGTGCAGGTGACACGACATCCCGACACCCCGAGCACCCCACGGGCTTCCAGAGCTTCGTCTCCCCCCAGATCCAGGGCCCCGGGGGGTCACACAGCAGCCCCCTCACGCACAGCCCCGGGGGCGGTGGGGCCTGGAGAGCACCCCCTTCTCCCCCGGCGGCAGGGGGAGACGAGCAGACCCAGAGCTGCAGGGCTCGGCCGGGGAGTGAGCGCGACCTCGAACCCGTGTCGGAGGGTCCCCGTGCACGTGGGCAGGGAGGGGCTGAGGACCCAGCGTCACTCCGAGCTCGCTGCCCGAGGAAACAAGGTGGAAAAACAAGCAAACTGGGGCTGGGCCAGTTTGCGGGGCCAACTGCTCATTCTCTGTTGGCCTAGAAAGGCGAGGCCACACCTACACTTAGCGGAGGCCGGCTCCCATCCCCCAGAGACATTCACACGCGTTCTGGGCTCCAGCGAGCCCCGGGGCTGCCATCCAAACAGAACGCGCAGCACCCTTCCACTCCCGGACCGCGGAGGCCCCCACGCCCGTGCGTGGGCCGGCCGCAGGGCCCGAGTCTGACCCCAGGGCGCGCTGCTGCGCACGGCAGGCAGTCGAGGAGCGTGTTGGATCTGTTCTGCTCCAGCTGGGGTGGCTGCGAGGGGAGGACACGCCTGTACTTTCCAGGAAGCTGCAGTGACCGTCCTCGCCTTGGCTGCGCCGGCCAGGTCCTCCAGGCCTCGCTGCCGGGCATTTCCAAGCCACACGCACGGCAGCACACCAGGGCGGGCGCTATTGCCCCCTCCGACGGATGAAGGGAGCCGATGGCAAGGACTTGCCCGAGGCCACCTGGCTGGGAAGTGGCAGCGCCCAGGGCAGAAACCCGGGTCTGACCGGGTCCCCAGGCCAGTCTGGTGCCACTGCGCCTGCCCGTCCAGGGCTGTGGTTGTGGGTGGGACCCGGCCGCAGCTCCCGCTGGCCTGAACGCACGGGTCCCCAGGACATCAATCCCCGCTCCTCTGCCTTCTACGGCCACCGTCTTGTTCGCACCAGGAGCTACAGGAAGGCTGCACGGTTTAACCTGCTGCTCCCCCCACTGGAGGGCTGCCCCCACCCAGGGGATCAGTGGGAGGGGCCGGGGAGGGGCCAGGTGGAAGGCTGCCCACTGGGCTTTCCTCCCCGGAGCCGTGTTTTCGGTCATTCCGAGTCCCACCGCCGCCGCCCACTGCACACTGACCGTGAGGAGGCACCACTGACCGGAAGCGGGATTCGAGTTGACAGGGCTGTCGCGCACGGAGGACTTCCCCAGGAGAAGCTCCCGTAGCGGTGATTATGAAAAGGCAAACGACGCGAACCCCCCAGAACGTCCATCCCATGGGCATTCCTCACGGGGCAACACGTGGGCCGCGACGGAGGAAGCGTGCACTCGGGGCCCGTCCCCACCAGCGTCGGCGACGGCGACGGGCTTCCTGGGAGTGCGCGGGGCTCGCACACGCGCGCCCTCGCGGTCGCAGCGTCAGCCAGCAGAATCCAGACCCACGCTCTGTGGGTCTCTGGCTCGTTTCGATTTTCAAAAGTATGAAAATCTCGGAAGAGTTCAGAAAGGGAAAAAAACGTGTCCCGTTTCAAACACACACATTGCATCGAGTAAATCAGGCCGGGACCCGCGGCTGCTCGTGGGAGGGACAGGTCCCGATGCCGGACCACGTGAGCGCCGCCCCCCACCCCCCACGAGCGGCGCGGGCCCTGGCGTCCCACCCCTGGGCGGCGCACGGGGCGGCCCCGGCGGCTGAGCGGCTCGGTCCTGCCGCACCACAGGTCCCTCGCTGTGCGTGCCGCCGCCTGGGTGTTCGGCCTGCTGCGCCCGATCGGCATGTACTGCCGGAGGGCGGCACTTCTCTCCGGTCACGGAAAACCTCGCTTCCCCGTGAGACCAGACCGGCAAGGGCAGCCGTACGCACAGTGACCGCAGGTCAGCACCGAAGCGATTGCGATTCCAGGGCCCCTGGGGTGCCCGTGGTCAGCAGGTGTGGTCAGAGGGGGCTGCGGCCACATGGGCGCCGGCGTTCACGCGGGCTGGCGAGGGCCCCGCTCAGCCAGACCACTCTGACACGAGACTACCGACGGCAGGACGTGGCCCGGTGACAGGACGGGGCCCCGCCCGCATGGTCTGCCCTCTCGAACAAGGGCGTCGGGCAAAGGGCGGGGAGAAGATTGCTGAAAGCCCTCTCACCTTTTCTCCTACTTGGAGCTCCAGTTCTTTCAGGGTCCGACAGCCCCTCATTTCATGCCTGCTGTCCCTGAAAATCAGAAGTAAAAACTGTTAAAATGTTCTAACCGAGTAAGTAAACGTTCATGCAGCACATTCAGAGATCCCAACGATCGGGATTTCTCAAGTACGTATTTTTAAACACGACATGTTTCTTACGCACTACCATCTGCCAGGAGCATGACCCTGGGCCGCTCACTCACCCCCTCCCCGCCTCGGTGTCCGGTCTGCGACACCAACCCCTCCTCCGGAGGGCGGGCGGCCCCGGAGCAACCAGGGCCTGCACTCAGGGAGCACGCCTGTAGCCACGCCTCCCCTCGTTCCCCGCTCAGGGCCGCTCTGCGGGTTAGGGGCCGTCCTCTTCCCGCGTGCGGAGGAGACTGAGGGGCCGACGGTCGCCCGTGAGGACGTGGAGGCGCCTGGGGCAGACCCTGGTGGTCTGGCTCCCAGGCCCACCCCCACCCCCTCTGCTGCGGCGCTGTGTCCCGACCCCGCGGTCCCCCGTCCACGCGGTGGCGCACCCCAGCCACTCGCAGGGACTTGCGGGTGGGTGTGAGTCTGTGCCATGCCGCGGCTCCTTCGGGTTCACTAACTGCACTCGGGGCTGCACTGGCCCTGAGGCAGCTGCGCGGAGACCCCTGGAGAGCGCCCCTCTTGGGGGCACACGGGGAGGGCCGGCGTGGGCGCGAGGAACACGCCGGGGGTGCTGCTTCTCCCGTCACACGGCTCAGCCCGCCACCGACGCCCGGGCCTGGGGCCGCCGGGCAGCCTGGGACACCGTTTCCAGCCTCAGACACGCTTAGCGGCAGCGGTGACAGCGGCAGACGGAACATACACAGATGGGCGGCGTGGGCCGCGACAACCACGGGAGCCCTGAAGGAAATCACGGCGCGCAGGGAGCGAGATGGCGGACCAGGGGGAGCTGGAACAGCTCTTCTTGATGCGGGACGGCCAGACCCGCAAGCTCAGGAGCCCGGAGCCCGGAGCCAGGAGCCGTCCGCCAGGGAGAGACGCTCTGGGGGCCAGGCAGAGGCAGCACACCCCCGTGGTGGGACACCCAGCGGGGACAGGCGGAGGGACCCGATGAGCGGGAGCTGGAGGCAGGCACCAGCCCTGCGGTGCTGGGGGCCACAGCCAGGAGTCCGGACTCCGGGCGAGGGGAGGGGCAAGCCACCGGGACACTTCAGGCAGAAATTACACTTGTTTTACCCAGGAGGACACAGGCTCAGAGGGGCTGGGTGGCCTGCCCAAGTTGAAGACGGCACCTTGTCAGGAATCCAGTCTTACATTCTGTTAAATGTCATTATTTTTATAGTTTTTAAAAAAGATTTTATTTAAAGCCCTGGCTGGCGTAGCTCAGTGGATTGAGCGCGGGCTGCAAACCAAAGCATCGCAGGTTCGATTCCCAGTCAGGGCACATGCCTGGGTTGCAGGCCATGGCCCCCAGCAACCGCACATTGATGTTTCTCTCTGTCTCTCTTTCTCCCTCCCTTTCCCTCTCTAAAAATAAATAAAATCTTATTTTATTCTATAATGAAAAGATTTTACTTATTTACTTTTAGAGAGGGAAAGGGAGGGAGGAGGAGAGGGAGAGAAACATCAAGTGTAGTTGCCTCTCATGTGGCCTCCACTGGGGACCTGGCCCACAACCCAGGCATGTGCCCTGCCTGGGTATCAAACCTGCGACGCTTTGGTTTGCAGCCCACACTCAATCCACTGAGCTACGCCAGCCAGGGCTATATGTTAATAGTTTTAATTACATGTGACACAGAAAACACGATTGGTAGCGTGTTTAGCACGCGCAGGATAAAACTCGGACAGAGGCCTGTGTGTGCACCGTCAGCGGAAGAGACGCCGTGGGGCCTGCACCTGGCCAGCCGGCTGTCCGCAATGACCTGCCCCTCCCCACAGCAGCGGGTGATGGCCGCCGGCCGCCTCACACGGGGCTCGGCCTGTCCCCCTGCCGGCCCAGGCCCAGGGCCCCTGCTCTCCACGAGGTCTTCCCTGATCCCTGCCGCCCCAAACTCCCTCTCGGTGTCTGCTTCTGGGGAATGGTCCACGGTCTGATGTTGAGCTACTGCCATCAGTTTTCTTTGGTGTTCATTGGAAAGGTATGTTTTAAGCCCTTTCACTTTAACCATTCTATGAACACACTTCGGTGTTCCTCTCAGCAAATTTTACCGTTTGTTACCTAGTCAGCCTTTGCGTTAAAAGTGGAACATTTATTATAATTACTGATACATTTATGTTTTCCATTTGCCCTGCCCCCTTCACCCTTTCTTTTGGGTTGGTTAATCCTATTATTATCATTCTGTTTGCTTTGCTTCTGTTAAGTGTGTGAGTTACTTGGTTTTTACTCTTTTAACAGTTGCTCTGGAAATTGCAACCTGCATACTTTGCAGAGTCTAAGTGAATCAAAACTCGTATCTTCCTACCGGACCAGGTAACAGCTCCAGAGCATTGGATTCCAGCCCCTCCTCTCAACTGCAACATTACCATGACCCTGCATGTTACTCTCATTCAGTTTTTAAATCCCGGGAGCATCGTCATTTCCCACGGTTGTGAGCAGCCTTCCCGTAGTCAGCGGATTAGCTCAGCGTTCACCACGCCCGGCTGCTGTCTGTGCTCCTCCTTCCCCTTCCGTCACCTCTGACCTTCGGCCTGGATCAGGTCCTTCCACCCGAATCCCACCGGCGCACCGGGGTCCCGGGCCGGCAGGGGCAGACCGCGTTCCAGTGAGCGTGTCTTCATTTCGGCACAGGGAATGCTGAAAGACAGTTCCATCAGCTGCACGATGAAACTAGGGCCTCTCTTTCGACACACTGCAGTGAGTACACCGCTCTCTCCCGGTCTGCTTTGTTACTGCTCAGAAGTCACTTTTGTCTAAATGCTGACATTTGGCTTTGGCTTTGGGGTTCCCGTCTCTGCTCCTGCTTTTAATCCTGCTTGAGATTCTGCTTCTTGAAACTGCAGGGGACTGCCTTTCATCGGTTCTGGAAAATTCTCAGCCACTGTTCCTTGGGATATTACCCCCACCCCGTCTCTCACCCCTCTCTTCCCAGAATTCCTAGTACCTCTTCTGCATCGCTGTGCCGCTTTCCGGCTAATGTTTTCTGACCAGTCTCTCAGGTCACTTATTTCTTCAGCTGTGTTTAATCTGCTCATTAAATTCCTTGAGCTTCACATTGTTATTATGAAATCTAACTATTTGCAGAGAAGTACACAGAACATATGCAAAGTTTAACAATTACCCAAATGAAGAATCAAAGCCAAGTTCAAAAAGGCCCCACCACCACCACCACCACCGTCCTTTCTAGTTGTGATGTTTTGCCTCCTCCTGGGAGTAACTGCTCTCCTAGCATGGAAGACGCCATTTCCTTTCATTTGGTTACAATTTTACCACCTAGGTATGCATCCTTAAAAAATACAATTCAAGGTGTCTTTTTGGAATGTCACGTGAATAGGAGATGCTTTTGTTTCTTGCTCCTTCACTCAATCTTATGTCCGTGAGATTCATTCAGGTTGCTGACTACGGGTGTTTTCACTGCAGTTTTTCCATTTCTTCAACACATACGTGGTAAGCACCTACTATGTGCCGAACACTGTGCCAGGGGCTTGGGACTCACCGAACAAAAGAACTGATAAAGGTCCTTGTGCTCACGGAGCCCACGTTCTAGGTGGCGGTCACACGGAGTGCTGACCTGCAGGGCCTGGCAGAGTGGCCTGCAGGGGGAGAGCTGCAGACGGGACAACCTGCTCAAGGCCCCGAGCCGGTGACCCCAAGGCAGTCTTGGGTTTGAGTACAGGGGACGGGGGGGGGAGCAGCGGAGTCCCCACCTGCTGGGGGGGACAGACCACAGAGGGCCACCTGGGATCCCGTTTCTTCTGCCTTCAGCGTTATCTTTTAGACGCTCCTTTAGTCAAGATCTGCAGAAGATGAACAAGTCTTTATCTGAAAGTGTTTTTATTTTACTTAGTCTTTACTTTTTAATGGTTCTCATTCATTTGATCATGTCTTCAATCTGCCAAAATTCAAGCAAGCTGTCCAAATTGAAGTGGCCCCTAAAAGCATTCAAGTTCAAAGTGACGTGCAGACGGCTTCTTCTGTGCGGGTCCCCTTTCTGGAGTTTCTCGGTAGCAAGCAATCTTTCTCCTCCCAACTCCTGCTTCTCGGGGCCCAGGGCCTGCCTCCCTTCTCCTTCGTCACAGTCTACCTGCTGGATCAGCTTCACCCCTGCTCTGTCCACTAACGCCCCGAAGGCTGATGCACGGTCTTGGTGAGCCAACTCGGCTTCAACATACTTCTCGGGCTCTTCAGTAAGTTCTTCTTCGGACCTGTGGGTGGCTCTTCTGTGCGGCGCCCAGAAAGCTTTCCCAAAGTCCGCCTAAGGTGCTGTGAGTGTCTTGGATGTTGACGGTTGTAGCTGTGCTTCGAGGAGGTGGCTTTGTGCCGACTGCCACGTGGGTTATGGAATACGCGGAAGACATCAGTCCATGTGCAGAAGTGTCCTACATGTCCATCAGGGAAAAAAAAGGTTCAAGCTGACTTCCGGCCAAGATGGAGGCGTAGGTAGATACACTTTGCCTCCTTGCACAAACAAAAGAAGGGCAGTGACAAATTTAAAAACAAAAAATAACCAGAGCTGCCAGAACATCAAAGTCTGTGGAAGTCTGACAACCAAGGAGTTAAAGAAACATTCACCCAGGCCGGTAGGAGGGGCAGAGACAGGCAGCCAGGGCGGAGAGGACCAGGCAAGGCAGGTGGCTGGTGGAGCAGGCGGTCCCACATCTGCACGTGGGGAATCCGGAGGGAACAGCCTGGGGGTGGGAGAGACCCGCAACCAGGGTCCCAGTGCAGGGAAACGAAGCCCCAGACCTCTGGCTGAAAACACCTGTGGGGGTTGCGGTGGCGAAAGAAACTCCCGGCCTCACAGGAGAGTTCGTTGGAGGGGCCCACAGAGTCCTAGAATGTACCCAAACCCATCTGCCCAGGAATCGGCACTAAAAGGGCGCAATTTGCCTGTGGGGAGTGGGGGAGTGACTGAAAGCCAGCCGAGAGCCAAGCAAGCAGCACTGTCCCCTCTCCGACCCCTCCCCCACAGACGGCACCACAACACAGCAGCGTGGCTGCCCCGCCTTGGTGAGGGCCTAAGGCTCCGCCCCTTACTACCTACCGGGCTCACCAAGACAAAAATTATGGCCCAAATGAAGGAACAAATCAAAGCTCCAAAAAAAAAAAAATACAGAACTAAGCGATAAAGACATAGCCAACCTATCAGCACAGTTCAAAACACTGGTCATCAGGATGCTCACAGAACTGGTTGAATATGGTCATGAAATAAAGGAAGAAGTGAAGGCTATGAAAAGTGAAATAAAGGAAAATGTACAGGGAACCAACAGTGATGGGAAGGAAAATGGGACTCAAATCAACAATGTGAACCAGAAGGAAAAAATAAACATTCAACCAGAACAGAATGAAGAAACAAGAATTCAAAAAATGAGGAGAGGTTAAGAAACCTCTAGGACAACTTTAAACGTTCCAACATCCAAATCATAGGGGTGCCAAAAGAAGAAGGGGAAGAGCAAGAAGTTGAAAACTTATTTAAACAAATAGTGAAGGAGAACTTCCGCAATCTGGCAAAGGAAATAGACTTCCAGGAAGTCCAGGAGGCTCAGAGAGTCCCAAAGAAGCTGGACCCAAGGAGGAACACACCAAGGCACATCATCATTACATTAGCCAAGATTAAAGATAAGGAGACAATCTTAAAAGCAGCAAGAGAAAAGCAGTTACTTACAAATGAGTTCCCATAATACTAACAGCTGATTTCTCAGAAGAAACCTTGCAGACAAGAAGGGGCTGGAAAGAAGTACTCAAAGTCATGAAAGGCAAGGACCTACATCCAAGATGACTCTATCCAGCAAAGCTATCATTTAGAATGAAGAGCAGATAAAGTGCTTCCCAGGTAAGGTCAGGTTAAAGGAGTTCATCATCACCAAGCCCTTATTTTATGAAATGAGAAAGGGATTTACCTAAGAAGAAGATGACCAAAAATATGAACAGTAAAATGACAACAAACTCACAACTATCAATAACTGAACCTAAAAAACAAAAACAAAAAAAAAGCTAAGCAAACAACTAGAACAGGAACAGAGTCACGGAAGTGGAGATCGCATGGAGGGTTATCAGTGGGGAGGGGGAGGGAAATGCACAGGGAATAAGCAGCACAGACGGTAGGTAGAAAACAGACAGGGGGAGGGTAAACAGTATCGGAAATGGAGCAGCCAAAGAACTTACATGTACGACCCACGGACGTGAACTAAGGCGGGGGGATGCTGGTGGGAAAGGTTGCAGGGCAGAGAGGGATAACGGGGAGAAAAAAATGGGACAACTGTGATAGCATAATCAATAAAATATAGCTTCAAAAAGGCTCAATTTATTAAGTAGAATAATCCCTTTGATGCTTCTGAGGGTTGATGATGACACCACCATCCCCACAAATGACGGGAGGCCCTCCCCGCTAGATGTGACAGTAGTTCCCGTCTCGTCCTTGCCGGCTCTCGTGCACTCAGAGCAACAGAAGCTTTTGTGTCATTCCAGGTCTTAAATGTCTTTAATAAGCAAAACGTCCTCTCCAATCTTCACGTGCCTTCCCACTGAACCAGCCACTCTCGGGCATTCCCGGAGAACTCTCCCGTGTGGGGAGGGCACCCAGTGCCAGCTGGCGACACGGGACCTCCCCACCCGTGTTCCCGGAAGTGAAGCACAGGGACCCGCATCGGTGCCACCGCCACCGACTCGGGGAACCTGGGCCGCAGCTCCGTCAGTGTCCTGAGTCCCAGCCAAGCCTCGTGACCCGATAATTCGCGGACGGCAAAGGCTGCCCGTTGTTTTTATGCGAGATCTGAGAAAAGTATGCGAGATCTCGTTGACAGGTAACCTTCCACACCTTGGGCCAAGGGGGCAGCTAGTTCCCCCTTTTCCAGACACCCCATTATCGGCAGATGAGCGTAACTGTGGCAAGAAGAAGAGAAGGTTCTAGGGATTCCCAAAGGAAAGGCTCTTACTCCTACTCTTACAAACAGCGCAGAATTCTACAGTGGCCAGTACTTCATTTCAGCACACGGAAGAGATGTCCCCCCACTGCCTTTTCTACCTCTCCTTGTCGCCCCCCTGAAATCAATTCGCCTCTTCTTCTCAGAGTGTCTAACAGCTCCCCTCCGATTCTGACGTTCTGTAGTTCCACTGTGATGTGTCTCTGCGCTTTTTTGTTGTCTGGCTTGATATTCTCAGCCAGTATCTTCCCAAATATCACCTCTGTCCTGCTCTCTCTCTCATGTATCGATAAATCCAACGAGAAGTGTATTAGAGGCCTCGTCTTCCCCTCCTCCCCGTGTCTCAGTCCTCCTTCCACATTCTGCATCGTTGTCTCCCCCTGCTGCGCGCTGGGCAACTTCTCCGGGGCTGCCTTCCGCCGCCCTGACGCTCTCTGCGGCTGGGCGCAGCCCGCTGTGTCTGCCCGTCCGATGAAGTGTGCAGCTACCGTGACGGTAGCTTTCGGGGCCAGAAGTTTCATTTTGTACTTCTTCAAATCTTTACTTTTATTACCTCTTCTTTCGTATGTATGTATTGAATCCATCCTTTCGTTTCTTTCGTCGTTAAAACACTGCTTTCGGATTCTGCGTCTGGTACTCTGCTGGCTATTGTTGCTACCGGTTTTAAGTCTGCGTTGCTTGACTCTTCAATGTGTTTTCGAGGTTTTCTTTCGTGGTCCGATGTTACTTGGCGCTTCCCCTGGGGACATTCTTGAAGGGCTGGGCTGAAGATGGATTCCTCACAGGAGGGCGTCCCCAGCTCCGGGCCGGTTTTAAGTGAATCCCTAGCCTGAGACTTTTCAAGACACGGACAGCACCACTGCAGGCACACACCGGCATGGAGACCAACTTGCAATTACAACCTTTCCCTGTCCCCCCGGGGCCAGTGTTCAAACAGGTGCGCTTCCTGTGGGCCCTTCTGGGGTGCTCTCCTTCCCGGGGGTACAGGCGTCCGACCTCTGTGTGGACTGACCTTCTCTTAGGCTCTGCCCCCTGGGGCAGCCCTCTCGGCTTCGTCTCTCATCCCCTTCCCTCCGAAGGGCCAACAAAACCGACACACGGATTCACCAGGACTTGGCCAATACCCTCGAGGTAACAGTTGGCTTTTTAGAAGACTCACTTCTTTGGATCCCAATTTTCACTGCACGTTTGGCCTCTGGGGGTTACTAGCTTTCTTACCAGCTCAGTAATGCATTCAAGGATTTTACCTTTTACCCGGGATTTCAGTTGTTTTCAGCGGAAGTGCTGTTCATGAATTTATGCTACCACATTACTAGAAAGAGAAGCCCCCGTTAACTGTAATGCACCATCTTCAACAAACAGAATTCATCTTCTCTTCTCAGGCAGTCAGAAGTCTTTCCAATTTAGTTTAAACATCTAGCCCTTTTTGTGTAAGGAGCAACTACTGCTTTTAATTTCAAATTAGTTATTAGACTGATGTTTCAAAATTTAAATACAAAGAACCCTCCTGCTTTCTGTGTTTACAGATGTTCAGCTTTCTCAACAAAGAATGTGAAATTAAGTTACTATCCACTCATCAAGGGTGCCCCTAGCGGAGATGGTTTCAGGTCAAGGGCATAAATACGCAGTCTATAAACGCAGTCTACGGTACGTCATTCTTTTGGATGACCCTGGAGATCACCGCAGCCCCCCACTTCCTGAGCAGTAACTAAACACAGCACAGAGAAGGCCCGGATCGAGTACTCCGACAGGCTTGTTGGAACTTCTGTACTAATTCTGACCTTTTTTTTAACTGTGGTAAAAAGCAAACAAGCAAAAAACACACAACATTTACCATCTTGACCATTTTTTAAAGTACAGTTTATTATGTTAAGTAAATTCACATTGTTGCGTAACAGGTCACCAGAACTTCGTCATCTTACAAAACGGAAACGCCGTACCCACTGGACCGCAGCCCCCCGCTCCCCCGCTCCCCCCGCTCCCCCCGCCCACTGCGCTAATTCCTCCGCCGCTGCTGCCGCCACGACAGACTCCGTCATGGCAGCGTCCACACCAAAAGTTGCTATTTCAGGACCAAATTTATACAATTCATGAGGAAACGAGGCTTACTCATTTAGAGCAGACAATCTAAGTGAACTTATTTTTACTAAAACAGTATTTCCTAAACCACACACTAGAATGAAAAACTTTACAGAGGAAACAGAACTGAAGTTCACACTGTAACACTCCCATTTTGCAGATAAAGCAAATGAGCCCCATGCTAAAGCTACGAAATACAAAGAAGCTCATTCAAAGATGTTTTTAAACATATTTAACTTCTGGCTACCAAAATGTAATCACCTTCCACTGACAGACACTTAAATTATATAAAAATGAACAAACTTTAAATTTGGCATCTTAATGTTTTTTACTGCAAAATTAAAATTACTTCCAAATCTGACATGCATTGCATATAATATGTTAATCTGATTTTAATTTGCTATGTTTCCCTTTTTTAACATAGTATTGCTTCTATTATTCTGGAAAATACCCTATATGGGTGTTAGAATCTTTTCTAAACAGTTTTTTTAATAGACGTAAACGCCTCTGACTCTAAGACGCGGCCCCACGGCGCCCGCGGCGTGCCGGGCAGTTTCGGACACACCCCGCGGGCGGCACGAGCCGGGCGGCCACGGGAGAGGCGGGGCCCCTGGCTCTGGGTGCCAGGGTGTCACTCCTCGGGCGACTCAACCTTTAGAGTTTTTCTTCGGCTGTTTTTGGTGGCGTGTGGAGGGTCGTCTTGGATTCCTCCCCATGACAGAGAGACCCGATCTCGAGGAAGCCCGGGAGCCCACATCCTCTGCTTTCACGGGCTTGATGACGTGGCCGGGCGTGGTGACGACCTTCGGTGCAGCCAGCTTCTGGAAGGCCCTCTGGGTGTTCCACGTAGACCCTATAGGGGTCCGGATGGTCCTCTCGAATTGCTGATGGTGGGCGAATGGATACGGAAGCCCCCGTACCTGGTGAGCTGCTGCATGGATGTTCCGCCTCTCACTGATAATCACATATGGCAAGTTCTTGTCTTGTCTTGGAGGACCTTCGGGGGCTTTAAGGAGAACCCGGCGTCTCCTCCTGGCACCGGGCCTCAGGCCCCCACCAGCCCACGCACCCCAACCAGGCAGAGTCAAGTCCATGTCCGTCGGCTTACTTGCCTCCACAGCGTCCCTCTTCTCCTTTAGGAAGTCTCTGACGACATTGTCTCCTGCAAAAGCTTCCCGTGTCATTTGCTGGCGGCCTCTGTCCCGTTCCCTTCCAGCTCCTCTGTGGTCGTGGGGGCGCCCAAGGACTCGGCAGGAGGGGGTGTCGGGGCGAGGAGGCGCCGGAGGCCGACCCTGCGCTCCCTCTCCTCCTCCTTGGGAGCACCGGGCTGCCCACGCGGCTCCTGCCCCGCGGCTGCCTTTCCGGCCCGGCCCGGGCAGCTCCTGACTGTGACAGCACCCTTCCCTGCCCCGCTCCGCTGGCTCCTGCAGAGCCTCTGCTCGCCCCGGCCCCGGCCCCGGCCCCGGCAGCACCGGGGGCTCCTCCTCTTCCGCGGCAGGCCCCCCTCTCCGGGCCGGCAGAACTGTCCTCGCCGAGCCCACCGGTCGCTCCCTGCACAGATGCCTGTCCCTGCTGAATTCTGGAGACGGTGTCCCCAGCTCAGACAACGCCTCTCGGCTGCTGGAATCTTCTGTTTGCCACCTGCCCGCTGGCCCGGCAGCCTGGCTGAGTCCAGGCTTCTTCCCGAGTGATCGCCCTTCCTCAAACTCTTTCCCCAAAACTCCTGTCCCTGCCCCTGGTCTTCCTTCCCCTCCACCGTCAGGAGCCTCGCTGGCCACGGGCGCTGGATGCTGTCCAGGCTCCTCCTGGCTTCTGGCCGCTTTCGCGGCCCCGGAGTGATACCTGGCCACCCAGGGGTTTGGTCCATCCGCTGCCACCTGTGCCTCACCCACCACAGCCGGGACAAGCAGGTCACCCTGTCCTTCTGAGCCGCCCTCCTCTCCCTCACTTCAGGGGGCCGCCCGGAGTTTCCGTGTCAGTTCTCTGCTCCCGGCCCACCGCTCCTGCAGAGCCTGGCGCGCCCCCACGTCGTACTGGGCCACAGCCGCCTTTGACCGTGCCCGACTCCCGCTGCTCTGGTGCCTCAGGCTCATCCGCTCCGTCACTCTGGCCTTGCCCAGCTTTTCCAGGCCTCTCAGCGCAGCAGGAGGCCTGACCTTCCCCAGCTTCTCGAACTCTGGGAGAACTTCCTTGGCCTTTCCTTTCTCCAGAACTCGGCGGTGCTTTCTGCTTTTGATTCTCTTCTCTCTTTGAGCCCTGGCCTCGTAGTAGGACCGCAGGGCCCAGGCCCGCGGAAGCTCTGCTCGGCGCACCCTCGCCCCTCCCAGGCCCATGGCTCTGCGAGAAGCCCTCTCCGCGGGGGTCAGCAGAGGGCCTCCCACTGGCTGCTGCTTCTCACAGGGAAGGCTGGACACCTCGCGCCCCAGGGGGGTCCCGGCCTCCCAGCCGCCAAGCACGTGTCCAGCGGGGGCCAGGGCTGACCGTGCCTTCCTCTCGGGGAGAACCAGCTGCTCCGCCTGGCGGTTCCTCAGCACGACGGGGTCCCACCCGGAGCGGGCCCAGCAGGTTCCGCGGAATGCCACCTCTCTGCGGGCAGGCGCCCGCAGCCTCTTCCCGGGTGACAGGCGGCTCCACGGTCTTCCGTGATCTGACTCTGCTCAGCGGCTTCCTCGCAGCGGCCCACGAGGGCGACGGCTGAAAGGGCTCGAGCAGATCGGAGAGGACGGGCCTTTCTCCCGACCCTTCCGCGCTGACAGTGAACTCGGACGCCTTCGGACCGGCCTCAGACCTCTCGGCCAGTTTCCACCCCGTCCGTGTCCATCATCGAGGGCCGTGACGGCTTCCAGGAGCCGCTGGTGCTTTCCCTCGCGGTCAGCGTCCCCCTCATCCGCACCGGGGCCCCGGGGGCAGTCCCCCGGCAGACCCTCCAGCTCGCCCTGTGCGCTGACGGCCAGGAGGCCCCCCACCGCCCGCGCCGTGCCCATTCCCGCGGCCCGCCTCCCCCGCGGGCCAGGAGCGGAAGCTGCAACACAGGTGTGACTGGGGATTGACTCCATCGTCATCTTCCACCGGGGACAAGTACCAACTTGCCTTCTACACACGCCTGTCAGTGCGAGCAGCTCTAATGACCTTAGGTCCTACCTCTTATCGTCTCCAAGTTCCCGTTTCCATACAAACAACAACAAAAAACCCACTTACCTCTTTATAACATTTGGGTCAATCCCACCGAACCTGGACAGGAACTCGAGGTAGGGCACGGCCCCAGAGCTGGTGAGCGGGATCTGCGTGCGGACAGAAGAAGGACAGCCAGTCAGAGGACTCGGGGGCCAGCGGGGGGCGGGGGGGGGGGGCGGCGGCCGGTTTCGCGCTGGAGGCGGGGTGGGCGTTCTAGCAGTGAACACGCCGCTAAGCCCAGCCGCCCGGGCCAGGCTGTGCGCTCAGCGAACCAAACACCAACAACGCGAACGCCAGCCTGTGCCTGATTAAATGTCAACGAGGCAGCTACAAAACTCTCTCAGATCTAGCTCCGTCTAAAAATAAAGCAAAAACCTATTCTAATGTGTATTTCACATCCATGCATTCATATCACATATGTATAATACATACATATTCCCCGAGAGGCGGAGGCCCAGAACAGTTGTACCTTTTGAGTGTCGTGTAAGCTCTCTCTACGTTTATATAATTTTAAGGTATAGAAACGTCACTTTTAAATAAAAAACCCCGTCGAGAATAGTACTGAGTCGAGAATGTCAAGGCTGCAAGGGGACCAAAGCTCCTTTCCCCGGGTGCAGTTTACTGAGGCTGGTGACGGCGCTGTGACCTGTAGAGCAGTTCTCAGAAAAGGCACACTGAAGCCTGCAGAAGGCAAGAACCACAACACAAGCAGCTTCCTCTCACGTGGTTCAGGAAGGCACCACTCTGCCCGTCTTCTTCGTGTGGATGGCGGACACTCACGTGTTGCGTGCACCAGCCCCCCCCATGCTCACGGGACAAGCAGGGGAGCCCCGTGTTCACGGTGCACACGCCGGCGTACAGGTCTGGGCCACCGGGCTCTACCTGCACTGTTCTGAGTCTTACACACTTTCTGGGGGTGTGAAATTACTTCCAAATAAAAGTTTTTAAGTGAAGAATAATTTTCTCCCTCCAAAAAGAACTATAAAACTAAAATTAACATAAATATACGCAATAAATATAAATATATTTTATTGAGGTCCGTGTCATCCCACGAAGTCCAACTTCCCACGCTGCTGAGCGGCCCCCAAGCCCACCCACTCCAGTCTGACAGTGGCCTGGCCCTTCACGTCCCCGCTGCGCAGCCCAGCACGGTCTCCTCGGTCCTCCCTCCGCACGGGACGCCCCTCTCCTCACCACTCACAACGTGTGCGACTAGCAGACGGACCCAGAGGAAAAGGGGTCCTCTGTGTCACTGTTTTCCTAGAAGGGACACCCATGACCTTTATTTCCGGTAGGGCGTTTTCCAGGGGCTCTAATGTGGGAGACGTCACAGTCTCCCTCATCTGGAAGAAGGAGGGTAGGGCCCGAGGGACTGCGCAGCTCCGAGACTGGACGCCGTGCCGGGCGTTTGGCGTGAGTCAGTCAGTCGTGTAGCCTGAACACCCCCTTCGCGGGGTGTGGAAACGGAAACAGTCCGAGCTCCACAGAGCGGAAGCGCGACCTCCCGACCGAGCACCGCGGTAAGCGCCGCCGGTAAGCGCCACCGGGCATCTCTGCGACGGCAGAGTCTGAGTCTGCCTGGCCACGCGACCCGCCCTGCCCGCAGGAAAAGAACGCCCATCGACCGACGGAGGCCTCCATCGCGTTTCACGCCGTTGCTTCTGGCCTGGCACAAACTCTGACGCGGCAGACACCGTCCTGCAATGACCCGTCCGCAACGCTGAGCAGAGAAGCTGGTCCGTCCCAACACTCGTGATCCCAGCAAACACGTTCAGGAATCAACACCACCCGCCCGTGATCACCCGAGAGCAAAGTCTCAGACTGGGGCTGGAGTCAACATGCGCACTGGCGAGCGTCTTCGAAGACGTCTCTGTCCCACCCGGCATGACCGCGGAGCCCAGGAGGGACTGTGTTTTCTCCCCCTGTGACCTGTTACCAACTCAACAACTTCTCCTCAAGTTCCTGTGTTAACATTCAGAGGCGGAGGCCACATTGGGAAAGGTCACAGTACTACTGTCCACGGAAACCGAGGGTCAGGCGCCAATTGACCATCGAACACCCGACAGTCGGACGTGCTTGACACGGGCCTTGCAATACAACTTAGGTAAATGCACTCTACCTGGAAGATTCTTTTCTAATTTTAAGGGGGAATCCCCATGAAATACTTGACCAGTTCAATACGTCACCCATTAGGCTCACATTAACTGTTGAAAAAGAAATCCGTGTCACCATGTAGATTCACAGTTGAAGGACCCAGAAAGGTCACACACTCTCCAGACTCCGGGGGCTGGGAGGAGGAGCCCCGCCCCCCAGGGACCCCGCCTCCGGTTCCCGGCACCAGACTCCGCCTCCTGGATGTGCACACGGCGCCCAGGAGCTCCAGGTTCCAGAAAAACATGCTCGTCCTTTGGCGTACACGACTGGGCCCTGCCTTATTTTTTTTTTTTAATCTTTGAAGTTCAACAGCTCCCAGTGACTGACTTCTTTTAAAAACAGATGTAGCTCTTAAAAACAGCTACGCATCTCACATTTTCTGTACTTTTCCTCTTCCTGTATAGCTGATTAGCTTGGGAAGACTGTCAAATTTTTAAATTAACATTAGATCATGAACATAAGAGACATTTAAGAGAAAATAATATTTTTATTTCCCATGTGGTGTAAAGTGTCAGTTAAATAAAGCTCATGAGAAAACGGACGCGCTGTTGGCAGGGGCACACGCTCTGGAGGCGCAGGAGAACACGGCCAGGCGATCGCGACCCCGGGGTGAACCACGGACCCCTGACTGTGTCAGAGGACCCCGCCCAGCCGGCGGCTGGCGCGGTGCGGCGGGCCGGGCTGAGCGGAGCCGGGTGTCGGGCGGGCTGGGGGTGTTCAGTGCGTTTTCGACGTGGGATGTTTATCGGGATATAACCCCATCATAAGTCAAGAGCATCTGCAGTACGTTCCAAAATATAAGTCAACCAAACACTCCACGCACTGAAAGCAAGCCTTTTACCAAAACTGCGAGAAGAAAAGGCTGTAACAGCGCTGCCTGCGGGACGCGGCCGAAGTCCGCATCGGTCGCCCCACAGCTGCCGGAGCGGAGCGGAGAAAAGTGAACTGTGAACCACACGACGCGCTGCCCCCGGGACGCGGGGCAGGCCAGGCTGGGGCCGCAGCCCGGCCGCCCTGGATCGCCACGCGGACTGTACCTTGGCCAGCACCTCGTGAAACTGTTCTCGCGTGAGGGGCAGCAGGAAGATGGTGACAATTCTTCTCAGCTCACTCTTGGACACTGTCATGGTGTGACCGGTATCGAGCAGGTGAAAGGCTTTTACCAACTCATCTCCTTTAGCGGTAATTTTTTGAAACAAAATCCGTTTAACATCTAAGAAGGACAGTATTGGATTTGCAATATCCGTGGCTGCGAAAGAGAAATAACTATTAAGCACGCTCGGAGCTAAGCCACCGACACCCCTGCGCTGGGGATGAGGGTCGGCCGGCCTCCGAGACGGCACGCCCGCTGCGTCCGGGTTCCCGCAGCCGGTGGCCAGATGACGACGTGCCGTGGCCAATCTGCCGTCACCTCGTCACCTCGGACGTTCGGTCAACGTGATTGTAATGATACTAGAGAGAGACGTCAAGGCAAAGAGGACCTTCCGTAAAAGGGACATAGGTCATCACAAGTGCAAATCAGGGATATTGGGATAGAACTTGGTTAAGAATCAAACCTGTTTCAATCAACCTTTAAAATACCTTGCTGAGTTTTCATCCTTTTGTTAATTTTTCAGAAAAAAAAAAAACAAAACACGTAATCCTCACACCTAGCTCCCGGCCCCGTCAAAGACACGGAGGAAGTGGGCGCAGGCTAGGCACGGGCAGGCGTGGACGGCGCCCTGCCTGGGGCGGAGGGGTGGCGCCCCGGCCGCAGGGCCCTAGGGCCCGGGGTCCCGAGTCACTGAAGGAGCAACGACAACCCAGGCCGCCGGCCCTCGGCCCGCGAGGAAGCCTGCTGCAGGAGCAAGCAGACGTGACATCGTAACCACGGCAGCGACAGAGCCGCCACGCACGCTGCCCATCAGTAGCACCCCAAAGCTGGAGGTGGGACACAGGGCCGTGTGACAGACCCAGGCCCACAGGGTCTCCGCAGGGGTGGGCGGCAGTGCACCAAAGCTGAGCACGGGGCGGAGCGCTGAGGCCGGCCCCCTTGAGGCCGGGGGCTCCTAGCTGCACCTGGGCAGCCTCCTGCGGCCTGGAGGCCGGGTGGCAGGACAGAGAGCTGGGGGCTGGGCTGGGGGCCAGGCAACCGCCGGGACACCTCCCAAACTGGCAGGTAGGCTGGCACGCACAGGACCCCCCAGGAGGCTGAGCTCGCCACACGGCTGTGGGACAGAGGTCTCTCGAGTCTCGCCCGGCTCAGACGGCGGAGCCGTTGGAGGCAGACGTCAGCACCCCACGGCCCCCTAACTCCAACGGAGACTGCGTGAGGCCAGACACTGCCCACCTCCCTCGCAGCCCCCGGGAAGGGGGGCATTCCTTTGGCTGGCGCCGAATGTCAGCTGCCTCTGTCTCCACGGTTTTTTACACACATGTCTGCTCTTAAATCTTTTTCAAACAGCAAGACGAGTGACATAAGAAAGGTGAGCTTTCTTACTTATCCTGATGAGGAGCAAAAACAGGCATCGGAAGACCCACAGAGAGGACAGATGTGGAAATGATCAGGTATTTAAGCTGAGAATGATAAATGTGTTAGAGATTGTACGAAAAATTGGCAACGTGCTAAACACGTGGGGGATTTCAGCAGAAAAATGGAAACTTTTTAGGAAGCACATGAAAAAGCACACAAATAAAAATACAGTGTCAGAAGCAAGAACAACTCATCTGATCTGCTTAACAGTGCACAGGGCAGAAGAAAGGACTAGTGGTACAACGTCAGGTCAGCAGAAATTAGTCAAACTGAAACAAACGAAAAGCAAAAAAAAAAAAAACACTTAAAGAGGAAACAGGCGTCTAATGCCCGGCGGAGAAGTTCAGTGTGCGCCCGAACCCTGCTCACGCGACAGAGGAGTCGAACCAGCCTGCGCCTGCGCCCGCGCCCGCGCCCACACAAGGAGGGGCTGGCCCCGCGGGGCACGGAGGCCCCCCCTGCAGAGGAAAATGCTGCTAGGGGACACCATCTGTGATTTTGTCATTTTAGAGAAAAAATCATTCAGTACATGAACAGGTACCACCAACAAAAACAACAGGCAAATGACCAACGGCAAAGGCGCCGAGCGGCGCCTGCGGCAGACAAAGGACTGACCCCTTCAGTGCAAAGACAGCTCACGCAGATCACCGAGAAGACCAGCCCACAGCAGGCGGGCAAAGGAAGGGGAAGGCAGGTCACAGACGAAAAAGACCGCATACACCTGAGAGTCAACGCCAGCCTTCGGTATGAAAGAAAGGCAAATTAAAACCACGACAGAACACTGCTTCCGGGCTGGGAAGGACGAGCCGCGAAGGACCCGCGCCGTGAGCGCGCTCAGGAGGAAGCACTGGGACCCCTTGCTTGCGGGGGTGCACCAGCTTCCTGACGGGCGGTCCCAGCAGCCCGGACGCAGAGCGTGGGTGGCCTTTGGCCCAGTGACCCCACTCACTCCAGCCTTTTGCACCATCAGAACCCGCGTGACACTGAGACGCGTGCCAAGGACAGCACAGACAGGGGGCTCCTGTCCTGGAACCGACTCTGTACTGGCAATGAATTTTCATGTTGGAAGTTGCTATCTACTCGCCCCTTCTGCCTCAGACAGACCCCGAGACCTGGGCAGACGCAGGCCTGTCTGGGATACAGCCTGCGTGTCCCAGGCTCCCGAGTGGATGCGTGTGACCGTGTGATTAGAGCCTCACGCACTGCAGGTGCGCACAGGGCCCACGGTGACTTCTGACGGCCTCTCCCCGCTCACCCTCTCCCCGTGGCCCGGGCCCTGCTGGCCAGGCGGGCGCCCGCCTGCCCCGTCCGCGCCGTTGTCGGGGCATCTGTCTCACTCCCCTGGATGCCCCACCGCCCTCTCCAGGCGGGCCCCTCCAGGGCAGGTCCTCTACCAGACCCACTGCCTCAGGACCTGGGACAGTTCTTGCCACACGCTGGGGCTCGTAACTGTTTGGGGAGGGAGGGAGGAAAGGCTCAAATCACGATCGTGCCACTTAAGAACCACGGAACTTTTGGGCAGGGGGCTCAAAGCTGAGCCCGTATCTCAGCTTCCCCATAAAGAAAATAGGGGCAATGGCAGAATCCACTCTACGGCGCCACCGTGAGGACTAAACCACATGACGGCTTCTTGCGGAGCCCGGCACGCACTAAACACACATGAGCGGCATGTACAGTCAGCTCGACTTGTGCTCGAGAATACTCACTTGAAGGTCTGAGCATATTGGGGAAACCACTCCCGGAGCAGAGTCTACACGGTGAAGAGTGGGGCCTTAACTCTGCGGGTTTTTGCGTGTGAGGACACGGACAGTGCCAGTCTGACATAGTGGCCATTTTGCTCATTAAATCCCTGCGATACAAAAGAAAACAGATTGCGTTACCTTCGCGCACACAGTACACGTGGCCAGCCTCCTCTCTCTCTCTCTCCCTCTCTCTCTCGCTCTCTGTCTCCCCTGAAAGGACAGCCGGACAGGGCGAACACGCTGCCAGCTACGGCCTCCCTGCCAGCGTCTCTGAGGCCACTCTCAGAGCGAACACGAACCGTGACTTCAGTCCCAGTGATCTCCAAGAGTGGGAAAATAAGGCAGCTTTTGGCCTGGAAACCCCCCTGCATGCCGACTCGCAGGCACCTCCTTGGGGGGGCGCAGGGCAGAAAGACGGCCCCCCCCAGCGCCCCTCACTGCGCGCCCGACGCTCGTCCGGTGCAGACTGACCTGCGCGGACCCTCCTGCACACAAACCACGAGCTCACCGGTGAAAACCGCCCCAACGGGCCGTCTCCAGACGCGCGAGGCCGACCAGAGGTTTGCGGCGGTCCAGGGGTGCAGCGCACTGGTCCTCTCTCTCTCTCCCTGCCTCTCCCTCTCCCTGCCTCTCCCTCTCCCTGCCTCTCTCTCTCCCTGCAGTGGCCCTTGTCGGTGACAGGGGCCCGCCCCCACCCATCTCAGTGGCCAGAGCAGCGGTGTCTGTGTGTCTCCCTTCCCCGCTGTCTAAAAATAAAAATAAAATAAAATCTTTAAAATAAAATAAAATGGCCCTGGCTGGTGTAGCTCAGTGGATGGAGCGCGGGCTGTGAACCAAAGCGTCGCAGGTTCAATTCCCAGTCAGGGCACATGCCTGGGTTGCAGGCTGTGGCCCCCAGCAACCGCACATGGATGTTTCTCTCTCTCTCTCTTTCTCCCTCCCGTCCCTCTCTAAAAATAAATAAATAAAATCTTTAAATAAATAAACAAATAAAATAAAATAAAGTCTCCAGGAAGAAGGAAAAGTCATATGGGTCAGAAGCTCAGACCTGCCTAGAGGAAGGAAGAATGTTTGAGAGAGGGTAAATGGAGGTAAGGGAAACACGTATGCCCCAGTAACAGCGCCCCGGCATACCTGAAGTAAAAACGGAGAAATACGCGCTTTAACACTAACCGATGGGGACCTTGACCCCCACTCTCATTAATGGCCAGCCCGACGGGACAGGCGGGCGGCAGGACACGGGGGGCTTGAGCCACACGGTGAACGACTCGGACCCAACGGCCACCCAGAGGACGCTCCACGCCACCGCCGCGGAACACACGCTCCGCTCACGTCCACACGGGGCACCCTCGGGGCTGACCTCGTGTGGACACGTAAGACAAGGCTCAGCCAATTCGGGAGGGCTGAAATCAGCAAGGTATGCTCTCCAAGCTCACTGCACTACAATCAGAAATCAGCGCCAGAAAGAAATGGGGTGATTCGCAAACACGTGGGAATTCAACAACACACTGCTACAGCGAAGGGCATCACGAGACAAATCAGCAGACACTTTCAGACGCACGACGACGGGGGCGCAGCACACCAGCTCTTACGGACGCAGGCAGAGCAGTGCTCAGAGGGACATTTGCAGCCGCTCATGTTTATATAAAAAGTCTCAATGCATAACCTAACCATCTTCCTCGAAAAGCTAGAAAAATATGAGTAAATTAAACCCAAGTAGAATAAGCAAACTGATAAAGATTAGAGCATACATAAAATTGATCATAGACAATAGAGAAAACCAACAAAATAAAAAGCTGGTTGTTTCAAAAGATCAACAAAACTAACAATTTTTTTTAACTAAACTGACCAAGAAAATACGAGGGATACTCGAACTCTTAAAATCATGAATAAAAGAGAGGACATTGCTACTGACCTTTCCAAAAAAAGGACTATAAGGGAACACTAACTGTGTTAACTTAGATAACTTAGATAACTTACATGAAGTGAAAAAATTCTTAGAAAAACTGAAACTGACTAAGGAAATAAAAAACCTCAGTAGACCTATAACAAAGAGATTGAGTGACTAATTAAAAAACTTGCTGCAAAAAAGTCCAAGGACTGGATGGGTTCACTGGTGAACCCCACCAAACATTTAAAGAAGAAGAACTAAAACCAATCCTCCATAAACTCTCCCAGAAACACCCAAGGGAACACGTCCCAGCATGTGGCGTGAGGGTAGTGTCACCCTGACACCAAACCAGACAAAGACAGCAAAAGAAAAAAAAAGCAAACAACCTATATTCCTTAAGAATATAAAAAAAACTTCTCATCACAATATTAAAATATATAAAAGTATATTTTTAAAATTTTTATTTATTTTTAAAGAGGGGAAGGGTGGGAAAAAGAGGGAGAGAAACATCAATGTGTGGTTGCCTCTCACGCGCCCCCTACTGGGGACTCTGGCCTGCAACCTAGGCCTGTGCCCTGATGGGGACTCAAACCGGCGACCCCTTGGTTCGCAGGCCAGCACTCAATCCAGGCCCTAAGATCTGAAACAAGACGAGGATGTCTGCTGTCACCATTTTTATTCAACATTGTGGTTCTAAAGGTTCTAGCCAGAGCAGTTAGCAGTTCTTTTCCTTAAAAGAAATATTTATGAAGGTACCAGATTGGAGACTAATCAAAACTATCTCTGTTTGCCAATGACATGATTTTGTATGAAGAAAACCCAAAAGAATATACGCACACCAAAAAAACACCATTGGAATGAACCACCTCAGCAAGGTTACAGGATCAACATGCAAAAATCAATCACTTTTCTACATACTTGCAATGAACAGTCTGAAAATAAAGCCAAGAAAACAGCTCCCTCTGAAGCAGGAAGCTGGGCCACCAGCAGCAGCACCAGCAGCAGGGAGTGGAGTTGGGTTTATTTTGGAACAGGGTTTTGACAGGCGAGCGTGACACAGCCAGGGGAGGGCGTGTGCGAGGGAAGCGAGCACACCGCTCAGAACGGGACACCGAGAACGGTGGAAACTCTTGGTGGGACTGGGCTGGCTGGGCAAGATCGAAGGGGGCAAGGGACTAGACACTCAAGCTTACGAAGAATTTAAGAAGGGAAATAAGTTACTCTAATTCAGTTTGCATTGACTGGGTCCTTACTCTGAGCCAGGAAAGGTGCTTGAGATTTGTGGAAACCCATCACTTACCGCCCGCCCCCCCCGCTGCCCAAAGCCTTTCCTCTCCCCATTTCACAGGCGCGCAAACCGGCGCTCAGAGCAGGCAAGCCGCCCGCCCGGGGTCACACAGCTGCTAGGCCAGAGCCAGGTCCAGGATGGGCCCCTCCCAGGGACCTGGCTGGCACGGCTGAGTCCAGGACGGGCCCCTCCCAGGAGCCTGCTGGCACAGCCGGCAATGGCCGAGGCTTTCCTGGCGCTTTCCACAAAATGAGTAAGCAGCTCCCGGAAGGCAGCGAGGAGTCCCTGGCTGTCCTCTGCGGCAGGACGGATGGTTAGGAACCTCGACTCCTGCCCCGCCCGGCTCTGCAAGCAGGCGGGGAGGGTCTGCTGGAACCGTGCTGCTTATTGCCGTTATTGCTCATGCAAATAACCACTTTATTTTATCCATAAATTCACTTCATAATAACAATGAGGCACGCCAGGGCCTTGGCCTCATGCCTTGTTATGCCACCTGAGGAGTGAGATAATCACCCAGAAACATACTGCCTGTTGTGCATTTTATTACTGGAATACGAAGCGATTCAATTCGAGAAACACTCAGTTGAAGACAGCACGAAAAAAATAGTAATCACATGAAAAGTAATCCCTCCCAGGGCTGCCGCGTGCACTGCACGGAACGAGCCTCCTCCAGCGGGGGGCGCGCTGGGCGACCTGCGGGGCCTCCTCCAGTTCTGACTCCCACTGGCGGTCGGGTCGTCAGGGCTACCGTGACTCCAATTGCAGCGTGAACGTTCCACGGAGCCAGACCTGGGAGGTTCCGGAAACAGAGCCTGTCCGGGAGCTCGGCCCGAACGCCCTCGGTGTGCGCGTGTCCCTAGCAGCCACGCGCTCGCTCGGCAGTTCACCCTCCAGCAAACCCGGCAGGCCGCACGCGGGCCGGGGTGGAAGAGCGGGGAGGGGAGCGTGCCCCACCGGGCCCTCCCCTCCCCTCCGGGAGCTCAGCCTCGGACTCAGGGTTTAAAGAAAACCTCCGTGTGCTTTAGAAATCAGGCAGAAGGTGCCCAGCTGCACAGCCCCTCCCACCACACCGCCCGAATGAATGCCGCTGCGAGGGCCAGCGGAACGGCCCTCTCCCGGGGCGGGCTCACCTCCAGCGGGCAGAGCTGCTCCAGCTGCACCATCCTCAAGCAGAAGTCATGAGGGTTTTTATGGCTATCAATACCATTCTTTTTAAATGCACTATTTACCATTTTTAAAAATCAGCCTTTATTAAAAGGCCATTGAGGCAGACACACGGCTTTAAAAGTCATCTGCAACACGCGGCCCCGAACCAGCAGCAGCTGCAGGGTCACCCGGGGACTTTTCAGAGTGCGAGGCCCAGGCACCACGGGACCGGCCGATCGGATGCAGGGCTGGCCGGGTCTTGGGGCCGCGGCAGCTGAGGCCGCTGCCCTGGACGCCCCAGAGGCTGGCTGGTGCGCGTGAGCCCACAGCATCTTATGGAGGCTCGGGTGTAAGTTCCCCTGCTTAATGGCAAAGTGACGGTAAAACACCAGCAAACGTTACACTGACCCGATTCTACGAGAGTCGCCTAGCAGTCACGAGCACCTTTCATGGCCACTGGCTGACCGTCAACCCTGTCACCCCCTTGTGAGCTACACACTGTCACTCACGCTGTTGGAGGCGGAGAGCGCAAACCCCAGAGACAAGAGGTAAATTTACTCATAAGGCCAAGACCCAAACTCTCCTAAATTTAATCCTAGGCTTTTAGCCCACCTGTGCCAAGAGTGTATGTGTGTGCCCTCACAATAACGTGCATCCACTGGCACAGGTGCACATGGTTCGTGTGCATTCCTACACCACAACACTAACAACGAAGTTTGCATACGCTGATGGAGTAATAAAATCCGCCAGTCCTCAAACATGGATACCTTGCATTTGCAAAACAGTCTTAACTCTGAACCTACTCAACAGAACATGTGAAGAATTATGTGAAGTCATCTACATAAATATCTAACCGAATACTGGGATTCCGAGGTACGTGCATCAACACTGGAAGCCCCGCCCAGCCTCCCCTGCCCCAGCCTCCCCCAGCCCAGCCTCATGCTCCCTCACCGTCTTCAAACCGACTGGCAACCCTGGTCTCTCGTTCTATACAGAGGAGTTAGAAGAACACACGGGTCGATTGACAAATGTATTTCAAATGACAGGGTATCACAGAAAACGACTGAGCCAGTCACCCAAACCCAATTGAGCAGAAAAGCCCGTGGTCAGAAGCCTCCACGGCACGGCACGGGGCAGTCCGACCACAGCTTTCCCCCGCCAAGGTCTCCCCGCGCCGGGGTCCCCTCTGACCCCACGCAGGCGGGCGTCTTCCTTCCAAATGTCACTGCGAGCCTATCCACACGCACTGCGGGGTGCACGCACACGCACTGCGGGGTGCACGCACACGCACTGCGGGGTGCACGCACACGCACGCAGAAGTCAAACACAGAGCGAAGCGCACACCCCTCCAAGCTAGCAGGCTTGAACGGGACAGCGTCTCGCCGTCACGCACGGTCCCGATAAAGCCTGCTCGGAAACGCAAGGGCGCGTTCAGGCCAATGTTGGGAGAAAAAGCCCGGCCAACACCCTGAGCACAGTGACGTAGAGCGTGTTTCCATGCCGGACGGAGCCGGACTACGTGCCAGAAACAGCTGTGCCGGCACAGTGGGGCAGTGGCCTCCCTGCGTGAGGTGTCCTTCAGTGGACGCCGCGGCGCGCCGGCGGGAAGTGCCTGCCCCAGGGAGCGGGCACCCTGCCCGCCTCTCCCTCCCACCCCTGGGTCCCCCAGGCCGCTCTCCCCAAGCCCCACGCTCCTCTGCCCGTCCCTCTCCCACCCTCACCGGCCACCTCCTGCGCCCCTCCGTTCCAGGGGCACCCCACCCCTCGCAGAGGTCCCCTTGACCCCGCAGAGTCTGTCGGTCTGTCCTTCCCTGCACTGCACTCGTCACAAGCGGCGAGGATGCCGTTCACTCGGGGAAGCAGGAATGCGACTGTGGGCTCTGTGATGTCAACCAGTGTCTCTGCGCCGCGTGTCCCTGCGCGACGGTGCCCGGCGCGGCCCTGGGCCCGGCAGTGTTCACCAAGCAGACGAAGGAAGGGTTTTCGCTTCCCATTGCTCAAGCAGCTCTGCCATCCCCGCCACACCCCCGCTCCGGCCCTCCGGGGCAAAGCTTCGTCGCCAGCCCCGCTCTCCCTCAAACCCCGGGCCCTGACCACCGGTGCCCAGCGTCCCAAGGGCCCTTCGTGAGCGCCCGGGGCCCTCAGGACCGTCGGTGGCCGTCTCCCCGTCAGAGCACCGGTGTCCCGAGAGCAGGGCCCACGTGTGACGATGGCGAGCCCCAAAGTCAAGGACGCCGAGCGGAACTGAACTGAGGACTGTGGTCTGGGGGTCGTTTCCCCAGCCCGGACGCCCTGCCGCCCCAGAACGAGGACCCTGAAGAAGAAGCGTGTCTGGTTTTGTTTGTGACGCGCTCTCCCTCCGTTCCTAAAGCGCCTCAGAGACTCTCTCTTCCCTAAGACCGACCGTCTCAGACTCCCCGCCGCCCCCCCCAACGTGATGACAGACACGGCAACAGGCGCGGGGAAGCACGTGGTGTCGGAAGATCGGAGGGCGCTTGGCGGCTGTCAAACACTTGCTCCGCGTCAGAAACGCGCTGACTGGCAGCCTCTCCAAACGCAGGGGCTGGTGGAGACCACCCTCTGCCAGCTCGGCGGCGGGCGCAGACGGGGAGCGGTTAGCACGTCCTATTTATGGCGCGCCAGGCCCGCCAGTGCGCCAGGCGGGGAGGGGGGGAGGCGGCGCGGGCTCCCGCTCCGTCGGAAGCAAAGGTTTGCCGCTGCTGCCCCCTAGCGCCGGGAACGCGAATCCGCCCGGGACAAGCCGCCCGGCAGCGAGGCCAGCTGAGTGGCTCTCCGATGGGGCTCCGGCGGCCCCGCTGGGCACCACCACGTGGGGACCTGCAGCCTGAACACCCGTACCCCGATGCTTCCTGACGGGGTGGGCATGCAAGTTCCCGGACAATGCCGGCACAAACGTCAGCCTTCCGCACGTGCTGGCTGCGTGAATGACAACCAGAGGTGACGGGGAGCGGTGTCGTCATCCACCTGCAGAGCCCCCTGCCCCTCGGGGCCTCAGCCCCCGCACCGCACACCCTCGTGGCCTGAGCTGACTGCGGCCCCGGGGCGCCAGCAGCCCGGGTTCAGGAAGAGAGGCGTCTCACCTGGCCCTGGTGCTGCCCGACTTGGTGGTGTTGACATTCATTTTGCTGCGGTTCATTTCCTTCAAGACAAACGTTTCTGGATTTGTGTATCCTGGAAAACGAGAGAGCAGTGGGTGAGGCCGGACTGGCCGACGGCTCTCCTTACGCAGCCCGTGAAGCCGAGAGGGCGGGGCCTCTGGGACCTCTGCAGGACCGTCGGGTCGCACCACCAGCTGCCGAGCGGGGTCCACACCTCGGGCAGGTTCTCCGCGTGGGCCTCCCCAGATGTCAGGTCTCCCGGGTGGGGGGTCTGTGCCGCCTCCTCCCATCACCTCCACCTCACACACACACACACACACACAACCACAACCACACACACAACCACAACCACACACCACGTATACAACATGCCCCCACACCACACACAACCACACACACGCCACCCCCCACACACACATCACTCTCTCACACACACACACACACACAACCACACACACACACACACAACCAACACCGCGCACACAAGATGCCCCCACACACACAACCACAACCACACACACGCCACCCCCCACACACACACACAACCACAACCACACACCACGTATACAACATGCCCCCACACCACACACATCACACACAACCACAAACACACACCACGTATACAACATGCCCCCACACCACACACACAACCACACACACCAGAGACACAACATGCCACCCCACACACATAACCACAACCACACACTACCGCACACACATGCCCCCACACCACACACACACAACCACACACCATGTATACAACATGCCCCCACACGCACACACACACACACACACACGCACACACACCCCTACTGTGGTCCCCTGCTTTCCTCGCATCAGCCACAGTCATCACTTCCAAGTGCTGACCTCGTGTTACTTCCCCGCTTTACAAATTCCCGTTGCTTCCCACTGCCCTTGGAATAGAGACCAAAGCCCTTAACGGCGTCAAAGGCCACACGGATGGATGGGCCCGCTGCTACTCCCGCTGCGTCCCTCTCCTGGTCTCCGTGGGCCGACCATGCTGGCCCGGGGCAGTCCCTCAGACGTGGCCCTTCCACGGGAAAGCCTTCTCCCGTACGCTGCAGCCCGCTGCCTAGGCCACTCGTGCCCCGCCCCACGCGGCCTGTGAATTCCTCCTCGTCCGGAAGACCAGCGGTTTCCACACCGCAGCATCCATCAGGATCACCTGCAAGGCTGGGCAGACTGCAACCGTGGGACCCAGCGCGGGACCCCGGTGCGGGGGTGGGGCCGAGAACGCGCTGGGCTGACGAGCTCCCAGGTGCTGCTGACGCCGAGACCCACCACCAGGGTCTCTGCGCACACATCACTTCCTCGGGGAGCCTTCCCCCACCGCCCCCTGCACCAGGGGGACCCCCACAGGGACCTCCGTTGTCCCCGATCGCCCGCAGCCCAGGGTGCAAGGGCGGGTCTGTGTGCACGAGTGTTCAACTGAGGCTCGTCTCTGGGGGCCCCAGGCCAGGGACCGGTGTTCAGAGGTGCTCAGACTCCCCGAGCGAGTGAAACGGCTTCCACTCCTGAACCCCAGCAAGCCAGGGCAGAAACCCCTGCCTGCAGCCGGGGCCCTCGAAGCAATGGGCAAGTGCTGTCGATTTTACTTGTAAACCCCCCTTGGGCCTCCTTGCTGCCCTGCCATCCCCAGTGTCGCCGCCTGCTTGCCCTCACTCGTCTGGGGGAGGAAACGGCCCCTTCCATTGCGTCCCGGTCCCCAGCTTCTCCCCCTGCTGCATCCTCCCCAGCTGCCAGGACGGCGGCGCCCTGGCTTTGACCGAACCGTGGTCACTCTGTAAGGTGCATCACTGAGGGGGCGTGAGGACACGCTGGGCCTCTCTGTACTGAATTCTGCAACTTTTTGGTCAATCTAAATTTTTTTTTTAATTAAAGAAAAAAAAGCATGCAACACTTCTCCAGAGCATAAGATCATTTACATCATTAATAACCTGGCCCCGGGCGACCCCTCCCGACGCCCCAGTCCCACGCACGCTGCGTTTTCACAGAACTCCGGATACTCCATGCGGTTCTCACCTCCACACTCTGGAATTTCCCTCCTGCTAGAACTTCCTTCCTCCTCTCCCACCGGGCACCCTCGATTCACCTTTCACGATTCAGAATGCGGCCCCTCCTTCGGGAGGTCCTCCTAGCCTCCCTGAACAAAACCAACCACGCCATGCCAGAGAGCTGAGCCTTAGAGTTGCGCTCTGCCCGCTGTTTTATTTGATGAAGGAAAGGACAGAAAGACCAGAGGCGCCCATCGTCCCACTGTTCTGCCGTGGGGCTGGGGAGGGGGGCCCTAAGTGTAAAGAAGAAGTATCAATACCTCCCCGCCCGCCCTCCCCCCCAGTTCTGCCGGTTTGCACTTCAATCCCCTCCTTCCCCACTTCCCCCCTGGCTGTGCACTGGCGCCCTCTAGTGGAGGGGCAGCAGCCCTCATCTCCCCACACTCGGCACCTACCCCGCAGCTGGCCACTCAGTGCGCTCTCCGCAGTCTCTGCTCTGGCCGACAGCTGCGGCCCACCCCCACCCCTGCGAGGGCGGGGAGCCCGGGCCGGTTCCATCCTCACTTTGAGAGCCAAGCCACGTTCTCAGTAAGAGCAAGCCCCGGGGGTGAGTTCTGTTAGGTCAACCCTGGCTTTACCTCGTCCTCAGTTCAGCTTTTCTATACAAAGAGAATTCTAAGACCTTAACGAACTCATGATTACTCCGGAACTTGGTCAAGACAAGCTCCGCCTCCCCACCCACCCAAAGCAGCCCCAGGTCACTGCCCGTCCCCTGCACGGCTCGCCCGCGGGCAGGAACCCCAGTCACAGGCGCTCTTCGCACTCGCACACGTGCTCGCCAGAGACGCACCGATGTCCAGCGCTTCACAGACGCTATTTATAGCAGAATCGCAACCAAGGTGCCATCCATCTGCCTTGGCATCCAGAGAAAACATAATCCGACACGAGACCGAGAAGTGCGCGCCGCCAAACAGAAATGGCACCAGAAGCGAAGACTGTTGGAACTGGTTTCTCGGGGTGGGGGGGGGACAATTCCTTGACTGAACTGGAAGAAGCCACAAGCCACACAGACTACTCTGGCAGCGCACTCCAGACACTTGGGAAAAGCCTTCTCCTTGTCTATCCCGATTATCAGATGGCTGTTCTGTGTGCCTCCGGACACCCCCGGCCCCGGAGAGGGCCCCCCTTCACCTCCCGTGCACTGACTCGGGCACCTGCCGAGCCCCCACAGCCCCCACAGTGGGGAAATCGAAGAGCTTGGAGTCAAGGAGACACGGAGCCCAGCTGGCTCCACTCTCTTCTGTGGAAACGCGCCAGTTCATTAGCCTCCTCCTGCCCCAGGTTCCTCGTCTGCAAAATGGAAATCATCCTTCCCTTTCAAGCGGGTGTGCCTCGCCTGGAGTCTAGGGACGAGGTCCGTGTGCGCTTCCGGAGGACTTCAAAGTCCCGGGGGTGAGATGCCAAGTGTGGGTGAGGTGACTTTTCCAGCCAGAGGGCGCATTACTTTCACCGGCGTCTCAAGGGACAGGTGGCCCCAAACGGCGAAGCGCCGCGCTCTGAAGGCCGTGGGAGGCTCACAGGTAATGCACCTACAGGGCCTGGCATTCGCTGCTTGGCAGCTGTATTAATTTCAGGTCCCACGAAGGCACAGAAAGGTCAGTCACCCAGACCCCAGGGCAGAAGGCAGGCGGACGCTGCAGAGTACGGCGTCCAGGGCCATCTCAGGTTCTCGCAGGCCGACAAAGGAGGGCAAGCCAGAGGCAGGGCAGAAGACCCCAGCAGGAGAGAGGGACAAGGCGCAGGCACCAAGGGCGCCAGGGCAGTCGGCGGCCATCACGGGGCGTCCTCGGTGCCTAGACAGGGCCCGGCACGTGGCAGGTGCTCGGCGAGGAACTGTGGGGTGAATCAGCCAACGGGTGGGCGCAGCCAGCCCGGGGGACAGGGAAACACCACTTACCAATTCCCAGGGGAAACCCACAATCCGGAGGGTGTCACTGACAAGTACTGATGTTCCAAATCGTTTTTAAAATTCCATACGAATGTGACGTTCCACATTCTCTCCCCGAACGGTGAGGACCCTGAGCCGGTCTCAGGCTTTGTGACGAACCCCAGGTCAACTGCCTGTTAGACACTGTGTTAGAAAGGCTTCATTTTTCCCACGGGGAATTAAAATGCCTTGTTTGCCTGGACAAAATTAACTCAATTTCCTTCTATTTTGTTTTTTAATTTTCTTTTACCCTGAGTTCAAGAAGCTCAGAGGTGAATGTGTAGCCCAACTGTATCAACCATTTTGGACAATCTGAGTATCTTCTTTCCTCCTGACGTCACTTTCCTATTCAGTCCGCACTGCTCATGACCCTGACTTATACAGGCTTCTCTCTACCACAGGCGGGTCTTCTTACAGTCACCGCAGGGCCTCCGCGGGGCGCAGAGAGCGTCACGGGCTGGAGAGCGCTGCACGGGTCAGGCGCACAGGTTCTATGCTCAGGCTGCCCCGGAGTGGAAGCCGCACGCTCCCCCTGTCTGCGTATTAGCCCCTTGAGTACCCCGTACAATGTCAAGGGTAACTGTACTTTTTCACAAGCAGCTGATGGGCACTACATTAAAACAGTTACGTGAGGCTCCGACCTGTGCCTGGAACACAGCAAGTGCTCAACAAGCATCAGCCAGGAGCGGCAGGCATGGCTGCAGTGCCGACAGAGGGAGCAGCGAACCTGCGGGCGGATGCATGCGGAGGGATAGCAGCGCACCCGCGGAAGGATACATGCATAGAGGGGCGGCACTGCCACCCGAGGCAAAGTGAACCCAACCCACTGGCGGGCAAAGGTCACAGCCAGGAGGAAGAAGTGGAACATAAAGCTCTCCCACGTAGGACGGTCTCCAGTCACAGTTTCACAGACATATCCCTTCACTTTACAGTCACGTCTTCTAAATGGTGGGGGTACCCTGGGCAGTATTGGGCTGAAGGTGAATTAGTCTTTAAATATTACAAGAATCCAAACATAATTGTGCAAGCCTCAAGGAGGGTATTTTTAGATACACTTCCCAGAAGGTAAGCAGCCGGTAGCTTCCTGTCTCCCCTGCAGTTTCTCGTCTATTCTTACAGCGAATGTTTCCATTCTGGGGGGAAAGGGTCATCTGAGAACACCTCCAGCGGCTCTCGCCGCTGCGAACTCGCACAGTCAGCACACACCTGGGAAGGAGCTTCATTAAAGCCGCCGTCTTGTTAACAGCCAGCGGCCTCCCAGGGGGTCCCTGCTCTGGGCGGGTGCCCGCCCCATCTCCCGGAGCCGGTTGTTTCTCCAGGGGCCACACCGCTGGGGACGTCACAGCATGAGGAAGAGGTGGAAGGCTGCAAAAGAGCAGAAACAGAGGCAGGCAAAATTGGAGAGCAGATTTAAAGTCTCACATCAGCATTTCTTGACAGCTGCCTAGCAGCACCTCCTGTGCGACAACAGTAAACTGAAGGGGTAGGGCAAAGGCAAGTGCAGAAAACTGAAATAAAACCCGTGCCCTCTTCAAGCTTGCATCCGGGTGGGGTGGGAGACCAGCGTTCCCAGGTAACCGAAGGGCCCGTGCCTGACTCACTTTCCCACCCCCTGGATGCGGCCCACTAAATGCCCGTTGGATTGAAGAAAACGAACAAAAGAAACATGAAAAAACTGCGGGGTATGAAAGTTGCTTTTTTTTTTTTACAGCATTTCTATAAATCCACCCATTTAGGGGGACATACGTAAGAAGCAGTAGTAATTTAGTGATTTACCAATGGCCTTCGGTTCTGTACAACCGACCATTCCGAGTGCCTCCAAATCAAATGTCTGAGGATAACCATGTGTGGTCCACGGAAAAAGAATATTCTAGAAAGACCGGAGATTTTTGACATGGGATCGAAATGCTGAGTTTAAATTCTGACTTTGCAACTTCCCAGTCGTGTGATTTGGGGACAGTCCTCTTCACCCCACAGGGCTCAAGTCCCCACCTAGGAGGTGGGGTTGACAACGCTACTCAGCAGAGTGCTGTGGGGACAGATGAAACACGGGCCATGAAACCTTCTGTACACGGGGGCGAATGAGGCATTACCACACGTTTCTCACGAGACCCTCACAGATCCGGGGAGGAAGAAAGATGGTACCACCGTCCACCTTGTTTACAGTCTGACTTCCCCAAACACCAGGTCAGCTCCACCAGAACAGGGCCGTCCTATTCACCGCAGCAGCCGCAGAACCTCCACGAGCGTGGCACCTGCTGGCGCGCCACACACACGGCAGAAAACGAGTCACCAGCGCTCCACCACGGACGAGGAAGGGAGGCTCCGCGCCCCGGGCGTGGCCAGGAGCCGTCTCGGGGCTGCGGGACCTCCCGAGCGGCACGCCCGCCACCCACACACTCGGACTCTCGCCGCCCCACTTCGACTCGCGCACGGTCCGGGTGCCGAGGACGCGCCGCCTTACCCTCGCCCCCTTCCTATTCTCCTCGTGGGGCGAGAAGTGCGCGCTGGGTGCCCGGGACGCCTGGACGCGGAGACCCAGCCCACTCGAGGGCTCTAGGACGCTGTTGCCCGAGCGACGACGACACTCGCGGACTGGAGAATGTTTCTCCGCACTCGGTAATAAGCTGAGCTCCGATTGGCGAAGTGGACGACAGAGTCGAGAGGGCGGAGGGGCGTGGCCAAGCCCGCGGCCGGCCCGCACGGTGGCTCCGCCCCCCGGTGGAAGGGACTTCCGCCGGAAGTGCTGTGGCCGAGACGGGGGAACCTGTTCTGAGGTCGTGCGTCAGGAAAGCGGACTTCTGTTACGCTGCCTCCGCGCGAACTGAGGTTTGGGCCGGTCGCGCCGAACCATTCGAACCGTCCCGCGTGGCCTGGGGGAAGCCGGTCTTCCCCTGAGAAGCACCCCTCACCAGTAAAACCGGGGGCCTGGTGTGTGGGTGCAGGGACAAATGTTTCCAAAGCCCCGACCCCCCGTGCTGCGCCTTCCTGGAGGTTAGCATTTACGGTTGTGGTTGTTGCACTAGTTGTTGGCCTGTCACGTTGTGTCCCGCCACCTTCCCCGGACTTCGCCCACAGGGTGTCCCCAGCCCCGCCCGGCCTGCGCTTGGGCGGCTGCGGGGGCCGGGCGCCAGGGGAGCCCGTTCTTACCCACACTCGGCAGGCAGAGTGGGCGCTCAGTAAGTCGTGTTGATAATCATAATAGCAACGACAGTAGTCGTCGCTGGCTCTTAGGGAGCACATCCCTTTGCCAGGCACCCATCCAAGTATGTCACTTGCCATTTAATGTGAACTGATCTGCCCGGCAGCCCCAAGAGGTGGGTGCTACGATTATTCCCACTTTACGGATAGGAAACTGAGGCCCAGAGGGTCTTTCACCCAAGGACACACAGGTACTCAATGGCAGGACCCTGCCGCACCACCCGCTTGTGTAGCGAGGCAGCGACTCGGCGTCAGCCGGCTCAGGACTTCGCTCCCCGCGATTCTGCCAGCAGGGCAATTACAGGGTGCCCGGCCCAGAGCGTGGGAGACGTTTTACGGTCCCTGCTTGGCAAGGTGACCACAGTGCTGGTGGCTAGTTTTCCTACTCTCCGAGGGAGTTATTTCCTAGGCCGTCTCCCCCGGGGACCTGCACCCTTTACCTCGTCACCCAGCGTGAAGGGCCGGCCTGAGGATCTCACCGAGAAACGCATTCCGTGAGAACGGAGCACACCGGTTGTCTCGTAACCACTTGGCACCATTTCTTGCCTTGCTCTTGTTCCAAAAGATGAACGGTCACTTTGCATAGAGGCCGGTCCCTCCGCTGGGGTCCTCCATCCCGTCCCCCTTTGCGTCCTCTTGGACTTAGTTGATTAGGTCACCAGTTCTTAAAAGTGTGGCCGGGGAACCCCTGCCATCTGGAGACCCTTTCCATGAGTCCATAATCATCAAAACTGTTTTCAAAGTAATACTAAGATGTTGCTTGCCTTTTCACTTCTTTTTTTTTAAGATTTTATTTATTTACTTTTAGAGAGAGGGGAAGGGAGGGAGAAAGAGGGAGAGAAACATCAGTGTGTGGTTGCCCCTCGAGCGCCCCCTACTGGGGACCTGGCCCAAAACCCAGGCATGTGCCCTGACTGGGAATCACACCAGCGACCCTTTGGTTCTCAGACCAGCACTGAATCCACTCAGCCACACCAGCCAGGGCTCACTTCTGGTTTTTTTTAATCCTCACCCATGGACACGTTTACTGATCTTAGAGAGAAAGGGGGAGGGGGAGAGAGAGAAAAAGAAACATCCAGGTGAGAGAGAAACGTTGATTGGTTGCCTCCTGTATGCACCCTAAGGACAGAGCCCACAACCTCGGTACGTGCCCTGACTGGGGATTGAACCCACAACCTTTTGGCGTAGAAGATGATGCTCCAACCAACTGACCCACCTGGCCAGGGTGCACTTTCTTCTTCTTTAAGACACCTGTTTAAGGCTGTAAGTCCTCCTCTAGGTATGGTTGCAGCTGCATCCTCTGAGTGCTGGTATGATAGATCTTAGTTAGCATTTGATTCGAAATCTTGTTTCAGTTTCCATTGTGATGTCTTTTTTGACACACGGTAGTATGGGACTGTATTAATTTCCAAGTATTTGGGCATCCTTCAGCTATTTTCTGGTTGTTGATTTCAGCCTAATCCCGCTGCGGTCAGAGAACATGCAAGGAGAATGTTAGTTTACTGAGATTTTCAAAGACTGACTGTGTGGCTCGCCAGACAGTCAGTTTGGTAAATGTTCTGTGCGCACATGAAAATAATTTGTATTTTGCCATTGTTAGGTGAAGTTGTTGGGGGTTTTTTGGTCATTAGGTCAAATATGTCGATTGTGTAGTCGGAATTTTCCATTTCTTTTCTAGTTTTTGTTGTTACTGCTATTTGTTCTTTGAGTTTCCAAGAGAGAGGACACTACATTGTATTTAGTGTGGGTCTGCTGGCATTAATTGATTCCATTTTTATTTATCTGAAAATGTATATATTCCCCTTCATGTTTAAAGGATACTCTTCCTGCGTATAGAACTCCAGCTGTGCAGCTATTTTTATTCAGCATCTTAAAGGGGCCATATTCTACCTCGCATCGTTTCTGTTGCAGAGTCTGCTGTCTGTGTAATTGTTATTCCTTTGAAAGTAATGTGTCTTTCTTTTCTCTGGAAAATGTTAAGCTCGGTCTGGGTGCGGTTTTCTTTGTCTTCGTTCTGCGTGGGGTTTGTAGCCTCCGGAATACCTGGCTTCCTGTCTCCCGTCACTCCGCGGAGACGCGCAGCCAGCGTTCCCTCCAGTACTGCTCTGCCCACTTTCTCTTTTCCTTCCGGGGCTGTGGGCTTCACACGAGGACAGTCGTTGTTTTAAAAAGTCCATTCTGGCCCTGGCAGCTCGGTTGGCTTGAGTGTCGTCCCACAACCAAAGGGTTGCAGGTTCGATCCCCAGTCCGGAACATGCAGGAGGCAACCAATGGATACTTCTCTCTCTCTAGCATCTACGTTTCTCTCTTTCCCTCCCTCTCTCCCTTCCTGTCTCTCTCTAAAAGCAATTTTTTAAGAAATGTCCTCGGGTGAAGATAAAAAAAGAATACACTCATTGGCTATTTGTAATCTCCAGGATTATCTCATTGGATTGTATTTTAGAAGACCTATTTTAAATAACCCCTAACACATCCAACGCCAACAAATGTAATGCCGTGGCAGTAGGAAATGGCTGAAGCTTTTACATTTCTCTCCCTCCAGGCCCGTCAGGCGCCCTTGTCTCCAGAACTGGCCGTGGCCAGGGGGTCTGTTGTTGGAAACCAAGTCACTGAGTGACAAGCTGCTGCGTGAGAGTCTTTGCACCGATTCCTGTCTTTGTAACTTCTTTCTGAGGGAAGATGGTGGGCGAAGAGCCCTGACTCATAGCTGGCTGTGGGGGCAAACACAGGACCTAATGATGCTCTTCTGAACCGGCCTGAACTCGGCAGTGCAGCCCTCACTGGTGAGTGGGGCGCGGCTGGGCCAGCCGGGCCCAGGGCGGGGAAACGGAGAATCCTCCTCCTGCTTGCTTCCTGGAACACAAGGGCTTCCCCATGCGTTCAGGTGACTGATTAGATCACTCTCCCATGAGGCTTTGTCATGCAGTTTTTCCCCCTAAGAACATCTTCACTCAGAGTGTTTGCCCTGATCTGGGCCATTTCTCACTTCCGTGTGAAGAGCTAACTTAGTTTGGGGTTTTGTTTTGTTTTGTTTTTACAAGAAACTCACTGCCCAAGAAATTCACCTCACTGTGTATTGTCCTGATCAGCCCGTAAAACCTATTAGATTAGGTTTTCTGTCTGCTCAAACAGACAAGAAGAGCTCCGTAAAGAGGAGTTTGGGGGGAGGAATCACTGTCCGTTCCCCCTCCATCCCCGTGGGTGCTCTGTGGCGAATCTGCCGTCAGCAGAGCTGAACCTGCTCCCTTGTCCAGGGCACCGCCCGCTGACCGTCAGAGAGACCAGGGAGACTCCCTGCCCAGGGAATTCTGACGGGCCCGCCACTGACGCCCAGTGCAGGGCCCCGCGCTCAGAACCGCTGCGGGGGCTCCGGGGAAGCCGACCGCGGGAGGCTGGGGACATGGCTTCACCCTGTGACCCCCAGCAGACCGCTCATTTCCCCCGCGTCAGGAGGGCGCTCGGGGGCTGTGGAGAGCTGTGTCCCCTCCCCGGGCGGTGAGTGCTCAAGGCCGCCCTGTCCCCACAGAGTGTGTACGCCCAGGAGAGCGGGCCCTGCCACCAGCCTGTAAGCGTCTCACGGTGACCTATATGGCGTCACAGACGGAGGTCCGCCCTCGCCTGAGGGCGCAGACAGCGGGAACTGCCGGACCCTGGGAAGCGCTGCTGCCACCTTGCCCGTCGGATGGCGGGAGGGGGAGCCCACGGGCGACCCGGGCTCACAGGCTGGGGCCAGCGGGCCCCCGGCGGGGGGAGAGCTCTCCGAGTTCCTGCCATTCTTTCCGTGGCCTCACGCAGCGGACACCGGCTCTCCAGAGCCGCCCTTGGGGGACGCTTTTTTAAATTTTTTGTTTCTATTTTGTTCTGATTCAAGAGACAGGGAAGGGAGAAAGAGAAACACTGACCGTCTGCCTCCTGCCAGTCAGGGATCTAGCCCGTAACCAGGGCTTGCACCCTGAGGGGGAATCGAACCAGCGACCTTTTGGTAGCGGATCAACACTCCAACCAGCTGAGCCCCGCTGTCCAGGGCAGGGGGAGAGGTTTTTAAGTGAGCGAGGAATAAGTCGCTCCTTTGGCAGAGCTGCTGTGGTTCTTTTTTCTGCACCGAAATAGATGCTCATTCCCGCAGACAGTGACCTTGGATGACGCAGCTGCTCCTGTCAGGCCAGCCAGCCCAGAACACGTGGCACCTGTGCACCCTGTCACTCCATGTAATGGATTAGCACGTGTACACAGGGGCCCTGCTCCTGCCGGCTCTGGGGCCGTGCGTCGTGGGGGCTGCGAGCAGGCCTGCCAGCACCCCAGCAGGCCCCTCCCCTTCAGTGGGCTAATGTGCTTTCAGGCTCTCAATTTCCTCTCCCAGTTACCGCTTGTCTCCTTTCATGGAAACAGGAATCAGAATCCACTTATCTTGCTCCCGAACAAGATTCCACAGTGCGGAATGCTGGTATTTAGAATTTTAATGAGTCCTGCACTCCGCACATTGTACTGCAGCAATCTTCGGAGAACGGTTCCCCCTCCCCCACCCCCGGGGGACAAAGAAGCAGTTCGGAAACAACAATTTCATGTTTTATACACCTGGGCCACCGGCAAACCCCTGACAATCACTAGTGATTCTCTTTGCTGAGAGCCAGGATCTTGCAACAGCTTGTAATTAGTACTGTTTAGCATTTAATTTGCCTTTAGTTAGGTAACAAGCATTTATTGATTACCTGATAGGAACAGAGCGCTGTGGTAAGCACAGTGTGGGGACCAAGTGACGGATGAGCACAGTCCCTACTTATAGTCTGCTTGGGGCTGAAAATGGGTGCTTTGGAAAATAAATTCGAAAAACAGTTACAAAAATGTTTCCTTAACTATGCTGCCACAGGAAGTTATTGCTCTTCCGGAATCCAAGGCTGTAACTCCTGGCACACGCCATTCTGAGGAGGAAAGTTCTCGTGGCCGCATCCTATCTCGTGGCGGGAGAGGAGACACACCGGTCCCCCGCCCTCTGAGCTGAGGATGGGCCCAGCCTCCTCCTCTGGAAAGCCCCAAGTGCGGTACGGACTCGGGACAGAGGTGGCCGCCAGCCACGGGAAGCTGGCGTGTCTGCCACAGTGGGCAACCCCCTCATGTGTCTGGTAACAATGGGATCCTAGGTGCCTCCAGGATGGCAGTGCCCGTGACCCAAGACTAACTCACAGAGGCCTCCTGGACACTGAGTCTTAAGGCCAGCTGGAGGCTGGCGGTAGACATGAATTGGCAGCACTTAGCAATAGCAGGGACCCACAGCAGCCTTGAGAAAAACGAGAGCAAAGTTGGAGGAATCATGCTACCTGATACCAAACTGTAGTTCAAGGCCATGGTGATCAACACAGCCTGGTGCTGGCATAAGAACCAGACACAGAGATCAGTGGGACAGTTCAGAGAGCCCAGAAGGACGCCCACACCTGCATGGTCAGTGAGTCTGTGACAAAGAAGGCAAGAATATAAAACGGGGCGACGACAGTCTAGTCAGTCAGTGGTGTTGGGAAAAATGAACAGCTACAGGGAAAGAATGAAAGGAGACCACCTCCTTACCCCACGTACAAGAACAGGCTCAAAATGGGTTAAAGACTTAAGTGTAAAACCTGAAACCATGAAACTCCTGGAAGAAAACTGGCAGTAAAATCTCTGACTTTGCTCTTAGTAGTATTTTTTTCTGGTGTATTTCCTCAAACAAGGGAAACAAGAGAGAAAAATAAACAAATGAGACTGCATCAAACTAAGAAGGGTTTGCGCAGCAAAGGAAACCGCCATAGAAACACAAAGACAGCCGACAGTTCATGGGAAGATACTCGCCAATGATACACCTGATGAGAAGCAATATCCAAAATGTATGAAGAACGCATACAACTCAACACACACACAATTAGAAAGTGGGCGGAGGACCTGAATAGACACTCTCTGAAAAGGACATCCAGATGTCCAGTAGACATGTGACAAGGTGCCCAGCGTCACCAGTCAGCAGAGAGACACAAACCAGAATGAGACAGTCCCCTCACGACTGTCCGGACGGCCATCACCAGTACTCAGCAGACAGGCTCAGAGAGGGTGTGGAGGAGGGGAACCTTCCCGCGTTGTTAGTGGGGTTGCTGGTGGGTGCAGCCAGTGTGGAAAACAGCATGGGGGTTCCTCAAAATATTGAAAAATCGAACTGCCTTCTGACCCAGCAAGTCTACTTCTGGGCGTTTATCCAAAGAAACCCAGGATAGTAATTCAAAAAGACACGTGCACCCCCGTGTTCACTGCAGCATCATTTACAGCAGCCAAGATCTGGGGGCAGCCCAAGTGCCCGTCAGTAGACAACTGGATGAAAAAGCGGTGGTGCGTGTATACAGTGGAATATTACCTGGCCACAAAAAAACAAAATCTTAACCATTTGTGTGCGCCAACATGGATGAATCTGAAGAGCATTATGCTAAGTGAGATAAGTCAGAGAAAGACGAAAACCACCCGATTTCACCTATATGTGGAATCTGGAAAACAAACAACAAAATGGAGATAGACGCCCAGACACAGAGCACAGGCTGGTGGCTGCTGGACGGTGGGGAGAGGCTGGGGGCCGGGCAGGGAGGCTCGGGGGTTGAGAAGGGCAGACGGGCAGGTACGGGGCAGACTCGGGGCCAGGAGGTCCGGCACAGCAAGTGGGGTCACCACGGTGTGATGATTGTGTCCAGTGCCAGGCGGGCGCTGGACTTGCTGGGGACCGCTTTGTTAAGTATGTAAATGTGTAAGCACAGGATCATGCACCTGAAACTGATATAAAGTAACATTGGAAGTCAGCTGTAATCGACAAAAATGAGTAGATGAGCCCTGGCTGGCGTAGCTCAGTGGATTGAGCTCGGTCTGCAAACCAAAGCATCGCAGGTTCGATTCCCAGTCAGGGCACATGCCTGGGTTGCAGGCCACAGCCCCCAGCAAATGCACGTTGATGTTTCTCTCTCTCTTTCTCCCTCTCTTCCCTTTCTAAAAATAAATAAAATATTTTATAAAAATTAAAATACCTACTGTTTAAAATAAATAAATAAATAAATAATAAAAATAAATAGATGTTTCAAACTGGCAGGGAAGGGTTAGGTCAGGGCCCTGGAGGAGCCGTGTGCTGGGCCAGGCAGGGCCTGTGTGGTGAGGCGAGGCCCAGTCCTCGGCGCTCCTCCGGCCACTTCTTGTGAGCTACACTGTCGACCCGAAGGACAGCGAAGCAGACCTGACCGTAGCCTCCAGGAGCCGGTGGTCACTGGGCCCTGGGAATGCCGTGAGAAGCAGGCCGGGGGGCTCTTGGCATAGACCACGGACTTCAAGCCTCATTGGGCGTCACCCTGGTTAACCTGGGGAATGGCAGCCCAGGCAGAGGGGGCGCCCTGAGCGGGGCAGAGCCCCCCCCCCCCCCGCAGCCAGCGCTTCTTGAACAGCGTGAGATGAAGCTACCAACTGCGTTTGAGTGAAAAATAAAAATAAATGCGGACTGGAAAGGGGAGAGCAGAGAGGTAGGAACACCAGGGGGGAAGGAGACTCCCGCCAGTTCACGGACGTCTGTGGAAGGTGCACGGGGAGAGGAAGAGAGCAGCCGTGGGCCCCGGTGGCGGGCGCTCCTTCCGCAGGGACGGCCTGCTCACGGGACGGTAGGACTTCCGCTCCCAGCTGGGGCCCAGCGCCCCACATCCTTGTAGAGATGACAACTTGAAAGCGGATGGGATGCATTTTCTGGTTGATACTTACGTTTTAGACACATCTCACATTCTCCGATTTTAACAAGCGCCTTTAGCAGAACCCAGGCTCCCTTCCATCCGTGGTGGGCCCGGCACAGGGCATTGCCGATAGATAACAAACCCCGAGGAAAGAGATGGGGGGAGGAGGCGTGCCCAGTGAAGGGTGCAGGGTGGTGTCCACGGGCACCATGCTTCTGGGCTTGAGGGCGGAAGGCGAAGGAGGGGAACCAGGGGCTGTTGCCCACACCTGGATCTGGGAAGGCAGGGGCCTGTCAGGAAAGGTGTTCCGGGGGAAGGAAGGACACGAGTGACCGGGGTCACTGACAGTGAAGAGACCACGGACTGTAGGGACAAAGGCACAGAGCCGTGGGTGAGCAAGAGGAGCCGGGACGCCGGCCTGGCTTTTGTTTGGGGAAGCAAAGCCTCCAGGGGCGGGGCCGGGAGCAGCACTCGGAAGGTACAGGGCGGGAGGTTTTCAGGGAGGATGAAACTCTGACAAGGAAAGACGCAGCTCAGCAGAGCGGCGTTGATCTTATGCCAAACCGCCACCTAGCGAGAGAATGGCACAGCACAGCCCTGCTCCGGGGGTCACTGTCCGCGGAGGGGGCGGGGCAGCGAGGTGGGCGGGGCGAGGGGAGGGGCTGGGGCCCGGGGCCTGCGGAAGAGGGCAGAGAGGACCGCCAGCAGCGGGGCGGCTGCCCCGGGAGGGGGCGCGCTCCTCGGGGCTGGGCGTCCCGCTGCCAGGATGTCGGAGGGCATTCCTTGCTGACCAGGGCTGGACCGCCCGGCCGACCCGCCCCCCGGCCTGAAAGGAAGGCTGCCTCCAGGAGAGAGTGGGAGATGGTGTCTCGGAGGTGGGACTGGGGCCAAACCCTGCGGGAGGGCGAGACCTGCAGTGCAGCGTGATGGACGCCGAGGGCCGCCCCCCAGCCATCACAGACTGCGGTCGCCCTGCTCGGAAAGGCAGGTCAGCGCGTCCCGCACTTGGGACCTCCCAGGACAGGCTGCTAGCGGGTGTGCACCCGCCGTCCTGAGGGCGACCTCGCCGGGCGGCTGTCAACTCCGGCGTGGCCGCCAGGGGGCGCCCGCCGGCAGCGCTGGGTTTCCTTTCTGCTTCCGCGCCGGTGGCCAGGCTGCAAAGCGAGCAGGACGAAGATTGTGTCCGTCCGTGTGATGATGGCACCGCATCGGAGAAACCCCGTGACTTACCTGCCTAGCAGGGAGGGCTGCCGGGGGAGTGAGTTGGTGCCGGTCCGGCGGGGCTCAGGTGGTTGGAGTCGTCCCGCACACCAAACCGCACACCAAACGGTGTCGGTTCGATCCCAGGTCGGGGCGCGTGTGAAAGGCACCCAGTCCCGTCTCGCACATTGGTATTTCCCTCACCCCTCCCCCTCTCTAGAACCCATGGATATGTCCTTGGGTGAGGACTTGAAAAACCAAATGACAGGTTCCAGGTGGCACAGTATGGGGGTCCGAGAGAGCCCAAGACGGTCCGGCGCACAGAGCAGCTGTTTGGGAGTGAAACCTGGAGCTGGTCCCCAGAGCCCGGCCTGGGGTCTCACTGCTCTGTGAGGTTGGAAACCCTGGGGGCTGGTTCTGTAGAATCACGCCTGCCAGGGTCTCTCACCCCCCTCCCCCCGGCCCTGCTCACACCCCAGCATGCCTTTCTCCAGACGGGCCTTACCTGTCGGCTCCCAGCACCTTTCGCCCTGCATTACTTTGTCCTAGCTCCAGGTGGGCAAGGGAGGAGCCTTGGGTGCCAGTCCCCACACACGGCCCACGGGCGCTGGCTCGGAACTGGGCTGTTGGGTCCCGGGAGCCTCGGAGGTGCTCCAGCTCAGGGACCCTGAATCACACACAGGGCAAAGGCCCTGCACCCCCAGCCTGCACTCTAGTCACACACACCCAAGGGAGCTTCTGAGACCAGAGGCAGCCGTCCTGTGATCACACCTGCTCACGGCTTCCCCTCTGTTTGCACAGAACCCGAACTCTCGTGACCTGCAAGGCCCTCCCGGGGCTGGTGCCCGCCGCCCCAGCCTCCGTGCACCGCCCCACCCACCCGGGCCTCCCCCACAGGTCGCTCCAGGCCTGGGTCCCTCGCCCACTTCACTCCCGGCCCTTCAGGGGCACAGTGTTTTACGGGGACCCTTGGTCTCCTCGAGTCTGAATTCGCCTCAGGTTTTGCCTTGGGGGTGGTCTGCTCTTTCCCCCGGGGCCTGCAGCGGCGCCTGGCCCTTGGCAGGTGCTCGGGTGTCTGCTGGACGGACCCGCCCACGACACGAGGTGGAACAGCAACCCACCGGGGCCGGCGGTGGCGGCTCAGGGATCAGCACTGCCTTCCTCTTGCTTCACGGACTTCGCCTCGGTTTTCTGATTTCAGGGTGTTTATATGCGATTTGAGACACAGCAGACTGGACCTTCCACGAACTAACTGGGGGTCTGGGGTAAGTCTAGATACCAAAATCTACGCTGGGATTTCACCTGGGACCTAGGGGGCCTAGTCCACTGGAAACAAACGTGGTTTCCCCAGAAACCCATGTTCCGTCAAAAAAAACGCCCTGCACTTTCCTCCCACGAGGAACCGGGAGGATGGGCGTCGGCCCTCCCAGGGCAGTGCGACCACACCCCCCACTTCCAGGCACGCCGCCTTGACCACGGGGCCTCCCGAGGCTGAGCACCTGCATCCCCCAAGCCCCTCCCAGGCTGTCCCCTGCTCCCCACCCAGCCTGTCCCCTCAGCTCGGGGACATCAAAGGTGACGGACAGAGGCAGGTGAGTGCGACGCCTGGAAAGCTGAATCGGAGTGGAACGGCGAAACCCACCAGGAGCCGGGGACCTTGGCGGTCAGCCCCAGGCCTGGGGAGTCCACGGGGCTCACCCGCACGTTGCCCTGAGGTGTGGGGGGACCGCTGGGGCCCTGCACCTGTCAGCACACGCTGGACACCAGGCCTGGGACATGTCTTTATTGAAGATGCAAGCAAGCACGGAAGTCTCAGGTGGGCGCTCAGTCATCTCCGCACAGAAGGAGAAATAGAAAAATAGAAAAGAAACTTCACAGGAAGCAGCCTCTGTCACGGATGCGCAGACAAGGTGCCGCCGAGCCCACGCGCAACGCCGCGTGCCCCCTGCCGGTTCCAGCTGCTGCCCTTCACGGAGGCTGTGGCGAACCCCTTCCCAAGACACAGTGCGAACCAGGTTCCAGCAGCGACCCCTGGCTGTCTCTCTGGGAACTGCGCCGCCACAGGAACACACGAGACCACCCCAGTCTCACCACGGCGACGGCTCGCACGCAGGTGGCTCACCTGGCCACCCCTCCGCCCCTTCTCCAGCCAAAGCTGGGCCAGGAGAGGAAGCAGGTGTATTTTTGTTTGGGGGGGGGCGGTGTAAAGATGCCACCTCTGCGCCTGCAGGTGTACTGCGGTGCGGGGCGGACAACGGCAAGACTGCCACCCGGTCTGAGGGGACTGGGGCCTTACACCTGCAACGTGGTCCTCCCGTGGCGGAGCGCCCAGGCAGGGACGGGACAGCCCGGACGCGAGGCGGAGGCCAGGAGCTCCGGAAGGTCACCAAGAAGCGTCTGCTGGCCCACGTGAGCAGGTTTCTGCTTCAGGGAACGAACAGGAGACTGCGACCGGGAACTCCAAGTCCGAGCGCTCGGCGTGCGTCTGTCTCCAGGGCTGATGCTCCGGTCGCCGTGGCGTCAGCCAGACTCCTGTCTGCTGGTCCCGCCGGCCCCCTGGTGGCTGAGGTCTCACAGAGGGGCATCCCTTTTGAAAACGCCCCAGTGAACAGTTTCTGCTTCCTTTGAAGGTTACAAAGAATGACACACAATTGCAAGAGACAGGCCCCCATGCCCCCACCACACCCGGGCGCTCGCCTTCCGCCCAGTGGGGTGACCACAGCTCAGCGGCGACGCCTCCCAGAAGCTGCAAAAATACAGAGTCCGCCCTGAGGTCTTCCTACCACCGGGGAGTGGCTCGCTCCTGCGTCCCTGTGGAAATGCACTTTTATTTGGTTTACACTGACGTTTCTTTAGGTTTCCAGTGAAAAGCTCTATAAAATACAATAGATGCTGTGGGGTCACCAAGGGCAGGTGCTCTGGCTGCGTGTGACGGGCTTGCACTCATGGGAACGGCCACCGCAACAGCGGTCTCGACAGCGTCGGTGATCAGACGCGCCAACCTCACACTCCAGCGGCCGCTCCGGCCCCACAGGCGAGCCCGCCTCCCCCGCCCCTCGGGGCTCCCGCCCGCCCGCGCGTCCACTCTGCTCCTGGGGCCTGTCCAGCGGTGACGAGCGCGAGCCTACGGGGCTCGTAGCTAGGAGTGTCTGGGGGCTGAGCATGCAGGGTCGCCGTTGCTGTGATTATAAGCAGAAGTCGAACGTGAGGTCACACTTCCCCATCTTCTGCTTGTACACCAGGTCGAACTTCTCGTTCATGGACACGGTGAAGATGTCCTTCCACAGCCCGACTCGGCCTGAAACGCAAACGAGACAGCGTGCTGGACCCGCGTGCCGGCGGGACGGCGGGCGAGCCAGAGGAAGCCTTGGAAATGGATCTGGAAGGTTCCACATCTATTCCCGGACCCTCCACGCTGGTCTAGGGTGCGGGGCAGGCAATCCCAACTACAGACCAGCCGAACCCGGCTCCCAGGGTCCGCCGTCCTGGCGTCCTCTCCCCACGCAGTGGCCCGGCACCGCGTGAGGCTGCGAGGGCTGCTGCCCCGCTCACCGCTGGCCCCGCCCCCGGGCACAGTGGGGATTCTAGGCACCGGGGACGGTCAGCGTCCGCGGTGCGGACCCACCGCCCTGGCACCGTGTGCGGCTGGGGCCCCCCTGACATCACTACTCTCTAACGGCTCAGCAGCCCCACCAAGGGGGCCTTTGCTTCTGGAGAATGTGAAAAGGGAGAAAATATCATCCAAAAGGTGGAACGTTCTGTGGCGAGCAGGAGGCCTCCAGGGCGAGGAAGAAGAGGGAGGAGCCTGCTCTAGGGGGGATGGACACTCAACTAGCTTTCGAGACTGGATGTCCAGTGTTCACAGCAGCGAGAACTCCGGACTCTACACCAGGGAAGTCAGGGGCCGCCCCAGCCATGTGCCGGGGCGGTCAGCTCTCGGAGGCGTGGAGCCTGCAGACTGACCCCCAGGCTCGGGGGTGACCTGCTGGTCGTGCAGGCTGAGGGGGCACAGCTCAACACGACCCTGAACTGGAGAGCCCCCCTCCCTTCCCTGTTAACTACAAAACCTGCCGTCGGTCTGGTCAGGTATTAACAGGGACCGTGACAGTATCGGGGGGCCAAGGGGGATGCCGGCCGCCCAGCTCCGGAAGCTGTGAGCCCGCCGGCTGCTGTGCCATGCTTCTCAGGCGCGGCCTGGGGGGCACAGAAAGGGCCGTTCAGAACTATGTTCGCCGCCAGCATCCCTGGGACCGGCGCTCTGGGGGCCGCCAGCACAGGCCCTGCGCTGGCCCGTAGTGAACAGCCGGCCTGGTCCCTGCAGGACTTCAGGTGCGGACAGCGTCCCTGCCGGCGCTGAGCTGACCTGCGCAACGCGACAAGGATCTCTCTGGTTACGAGAGCCACCCGTCGGTGCCGGAGAGGACGCAGACAGGAGAACCTGTTCCTGCCACCCGTTCCCGGGACCCGAGGGCGAGGTTAGGAGGCGTCTAGACCGACCGCACCCTACATGTATTTTTCCACGGTTATTTTTTCTCAGCCGACACAGCCGAGAGCTCATCAGAGGAGTCACCCACCTGGTTTGGGATTTGGAATCAAGACAGTGCAATTTATGCTGTGATAGGAATCAAATCTAAGCAACGCAGCGGGCTACCCCAGCCCCCGCGCTCTCACCAGCGCGAGGAGGTCTTCCGAGCACAGGGGCAATGGGCTAAAAGAAAACAAAACGAAGAACTGAAACAAAACCAAGGTGAACGATGGCAAAGCAGACACACACACACACACACACACACACACACACGTGTGCGGAGGAGCGCAAGGGACGCAGGGTGTTCCCCACACTCGTGACCACGCACACGAACTGAGAGGGGTGTCCCGGAGGAGGTCACACCCAAAAACACCACCACAGAGCACAGGCCAAACCGAAAAGGAGCACTCGAAGTCTAAACCGTGAACATTTGTGAGGATGCGGCCAGGAAACAGCTCGAGAGGCATTCGGGTCCCAGTTTCCTCCCTGGAAAAGCGGGCTGCTCAGCCTTGACGGAGGGCACGGTCCCCCGGACCTTCGGGACAGCCCGGGAGCCGCCCGGACCAGCCCTTTGCACAGGAGACCGGGCTGCCGGTCGAGCCAGAGGCCTGACAGAAGACGCCCCACCCCCAGGGTGCCAGGCAGCTGTGACCACCCTTCTGCCACCACCCAGGGGTCTCCCCGTGTTTCCGAGACCGGCGGGTGGCAGGCCCGAGGCCTCCCTCCGGCCTTCCCGCCACCCGAGAAGCTCCGGATCCACGTGTCTGGGCGGGACCGGGCCTCAGGCCTGCACCACCAGGTGTCAGAGCGATCTGTTCTTAGCATGACGGGGGGCCAGGGCCCCCGCTCAAGGTCAAGGGGATGTTACTGCCCGAGCTCTGCACGGCCACGCAGCCTCTGAGGACAGGAGAGCAGCCCGGGGGTCTGGAGAGGGTGGGCCGGGAGTGTCTGCTCTTTCACGCGCAAGAAACTGCGCCGGGAGGGACCACCAGCCCGGCCACGCGGAGCGAAGCCTGCACTTCCTGCTCTCAGCCCTCGGACCCAGAGGAGGGGCTCGTCCCCACCTGTGCCACCAGCACCCACGGGTGTGTGTGGGAAGCAGCACTTCCTCCCGTGGGAACTTCTGCCCACCCACTGCATTAAATCTCCCACCAGCCAGGTACAGGCTGAGGGAGCCCATCTGTTCGCCGTGGGCTCGCAGGTTTCACAGTCCCGAACCCGTCCCCGGGCCCTGCGCAGCGGGGACGTCTGGGAAGACACCTGCCGGACACCACCTGGCCCACAAGGGCTGGAGCCTCCCCGCGGGCTCTCCTGTGAGCCGGAACACGGGTGGCCCCACGACAGTGCACACGGCTGCGGGAGGGCACGCCACCGAGCCGTGAGTGGGCGGGGCCGGCTGGCCGTGACCTTCCCGCCCCACACAGCGGAGCGCTGGTGGAGCCACGGGGCAGCCCGGCACTGGCGTGGGGCAGGAGGGGCACCGGGCCCGGGCCCCTGGGCGGGGGCGCGTACCCCGGCCCACGGGCAGGGCCTCGGCGTTGCAGCACTGGTCCACCAGCTGGTGGCAGTGCTCGATCAGGGACTCCAGCTGGGCCTTGTCGCAGGACACCCCCAGGAACCTGGCCAGCTGCTCCACCATCGTCACCAGGTCCTGGAAGACAAGAGCAGAGAGCGGGGGACCCATCAGAGGCGGCGCCTTCACCGCCCGCCCACTCTGGGCTGGACTCCACGAGGGGCTCTGTGTGCACCGCCGACCTGGTCCCGAGCCACGCCTGAGGTGGGTCTTGTCTGGAAATGAAATCCCGGAGTTAGGAACTGGCCCAAGGGCAGCTCTCAAGTTCAAGTCCAGGTCCACGGGGGAGTCTGGAAGCAGAGGGGAGCTGTGGCCGTGGTGAAACAGCAGCCAGAAGTGAAACTCCACCTCAGACCGCTCCACGAGCAAAGACCAGGCGCCCCCTCCTTCCCGGCCCTTCCCTCCCTCCGCCGGAACTGGACCGGCACTCCCTCGGGACGCCGGGGAGGACGGCCCTGGGGACCCCTCGCCCCGCGGGGGCTGGCTTGGCCGAAGCCAGGGTCACTCGAGGCTGGCACACAGACAGGCCGCAGGCGTGGAAGAGGAGGGTGGTGACAGTGGGGCACAGAACAAGCGAGCCCCCCCTCGAGACAGCCAGCCCCGCCCCCCCCCAGCTCCCCCCGCCTCATCACCACCGCCGGTCGGGGCCCCTTCCAAAACCCGCCTCACGCCCTTGCCTCCTCCACACGCGCCCCGGGAACCGAGTCACGGGCAGACCCACAGGGTTCTCGGCGGGCGGGGAACCTCCACCCCGAGCCCAACAGGCTGGGAGACGACAAACTTGGGGTCCACCCTCTCGGGGCCGCAGCCCCGAGCCCGGCAGCGGGCCGGAGAGGCCGCCGGGCGGCAGCAGGGTGGGCCTGCCTGGGGCCCTGCCTCCGCTGCTGGGGCAGGAAACTACACAGGCTCCCGGCAGGCGAGGGCTGGCGGCGAACCCGGACACCCTGCAGCCTGGGCAGGTGGCTCGCCGACACTCCAGTGAGTCCCGCCCCGGGCGCACAGGTGAGCGGGCTGCAATGCACCCCTTCCCCGACCACTGCCGGCCCCCACCCCCCACCCCCCACCCCCCGCCAGCACTCGCCAGTGGGACTCACCCGGTGCATGTCTTCGTACTTGAGGAACAGCACGTTCGCGTCCGCGCGGTGCTCCCAGAATTCCTGCACGTGCTCGAACCAGGAGCCGTAGCCCACTGTGGGGACAAGGGGACGGGGGTCACGCATCACAGGGAAGGGCACGCGTGGAGGGTGGCTTTGCTCCCGCCTTGGGAAGGCTCCCCTCCTGCTGCCCGGGGGCTGAGACTCAGGGAGGAAAAGCCGAGCTGCTGGCTGGGGGGGGGGGTATGGGGAGGGAGCGCACCACCTAGACTCCCCCTCTGCGCAAGTCTCCCCTGCAGACAGTCCTCAACCCCGCCCCCCTCGCCTTCTCCGTGACCTGAGGACCGCAGACTGGGGTGAAGGCCGCTCCTGGGCACAGGTGGTCCTCAGCACCCACGCGTTTCTGGGTTTAACACATGGTTACCAGGGAGAAAGTGAGGCCCAGAGAATGGGACACGGGGCAGGCAGGTCGCTAGCAGGGTTGGGATGGGGTGCAGGAGACCAAGCAGATGCCAGCCAGGCCCGGCCAGCAGTGGCTGGGCTGTGCGACCCCTCCCGCTGGCCAGTGCCAGTCTGCCATCTCGCCAGCAGGTGGCGGCACAGCAGCAGCCTGGCCCCACAGTGCCTGAGAAGTCCTGAGGGATCAGGGGTCGCTGAGGGGTGGGCCCTCAGGAGCAGATCACAGCAGAAAGGCCCTGCTCAGCATGAGGCAGGAGCTCTGGAAGGGGAGGGGCAGACAGGCGGAAATGAATGGAAAGAAAAAGACAGGGATTTGGCCAAAGGCCTCCTCTGGGACCTGCTGCCAGGTGAACCCTGGCCCCTCCACTGCTCCCTCTCCGCAGGGGGTCTACTGTGGGGCCCAGAGCCCTCAGCCCCTCCCACGGCCAGCCTGGCCCGTCCCCCCCGCCCCTGCACACCAGGAGGAACCGCCCTCAGGGCAGCCCCAAACACGGCCACGCCACCTTCTTCGTTAGAGAGGATGGGGTGGAGGGGGCGACCAGAGAAGGAAGCGATGGCCACCTCACCGCCAGGCTAACAGGCCGTGGGCCATGAACACAGGGCACAGAAAATCCCCCTCGTCCACGAGAAAACTGGCAGGACAGGTGATGACCACTGGGTGGGAGGGGGGGCTGGACAGGAGGGCTGACTTGGGGACCCTGAGGACATGCGGACCATGGTCACTGCACACAGGAACAGCATGTGCCTGCGCCTCAGAGCCCTGGCTGGCAGCTGCAGAGCAGGTGAGAACCTTCCAGGGAGGGGGGGCTCCAGGAGAGACCCTGCCCCCAGAGCACGGCCCCCCCCCCCCGCCATGGCTCCTGCCACCTTGGCATGTGGCCTTGGGCACGCCCCAGAGCACCCAGCTCTGTCAGCGGGTCCCCTGACCTTGCTCTCTCAGTAAATGGTGTCATTTCACAGTCCTGCCACGCCACCTTATTATTCAAAATTTCAGGACCTTGGACAGAGAACACACAAGCAGCCTCCTTGGAGCCAGGGTGCAGGGCACTGGCTGGGCACTAAAGAGACTAAAGGGAGCAGCAACCTGCGGGACCACAGGGAAAGGCCATGGCCTTGAACTTCAGTGCAGGACAGTGCTGTGACCTTGACAGTGTGGACAAGTCTGCCTTGGGATCCCTTTCAAATGCTCTGGCCCGAGCAGGAAGCTTTGAGCCCCACACCACTCGGAGATCCGAACCCGCCGGACACCTACTTACGGCAGCACGGTCCCCACGCGGGCGGCTGCTCCTGCAGAGACAGGGCTGCAGGCTGGGACTTGCGAACATGGCCTTGGGAACCACCAGGGCAGCTCGTTCCAAACGCCTGGCAGACCGTGAGGGACCTGAGCCAGACGGCGGGCAGGAGCCTCTGGCAGGCTCCAGCAGCCTCAGGGTGCAGGGGCCGCGGCCACCTCCTCGGGCCCCTCCTCCCCAGGCACAGCGGAAGCGGACGGTGGGGAACAGTGTGGCCCCAGGCCTGCAGACCCTGGGCCGCATGGGCCCCGCACGGACCCCCACATGCACGAGAGGATCTGCACGTGCACTGGGGAGCGGGGGGCAGCTCCAGCTCGGCTGCCCCGGGCTCCACGGACATCTGGGAAACTGTGTTCCTGGATGTCCGCTCTGCGCCTGATCCTAATCTCATCACTGAATCTGCCCCCCCCCCACCCCGCAAGCCCCTGGCTGGGCTGGACAGCGGGCAAGGAGGCTGGGCGTTCCCGGAGCTGGGGAGTGTGAATGACAAGTGTGTTTTCCACACCGGGGTACGCACGTCTCGGAGCAGATTAAACTGAAGATATGAGCCATTTAAAAACTCTTCCAGGTGCCAACTCTGAACTGCCTACTTGCAGTCCCGGAGGGTGCCCAAGGGTGCCACGGCTGGTCGGGGGGGGAGCCACCTCGGGTGACCGGCTGACCAGGAGCTCCCCCCTCCCCAGTCCCTGTGCAGCAGGCGTGACCCGGCCCAGTCCCCCTGTGGGGAGGGGACACACGGAAGGGCCCCGGCTCCCCCAGCCCCAGCTCCCCTTCTCCCCGGCAACGAGCTCCCCACACAGAGCACTGCTGTCCCCTCCCCCAAGCACACCCCACCGCGGGTCCCACGGGCCTGCGCTGCGGGCTCAGCCTGCCTGGTCCTCGGACCCAGCGGAAGGCCCACGGGGCCCGGCCTTGGCCTCTGTCGCCAGTGAGCGAGGCGTGTGGGCCTCCGTTTTCCCTGCTGGGAGTCCAGGCAGGAAGAGGTGCTTTTCATCAGAGAGCTTCTCGGGGCCCCAACACCGTGGCCAGACGGAAGGGCTCCCGAGCAGCACGCCTGCTCTGCCGCCCACGAGCCGCGGCCGCGGACGGGCCTCCCGCCGCCCCTCGGCCCCAGCGTGCGGGCCCTCGAGCGGGAAAGCAGGCCCGCCGTGTGCGGGGAAGGTCAGGACGGCGGGGAGGGACGCGGGCAGAGCACCGGCACGCGCCGGAGTCTGGCGGACACGGGCACCGTCGCCGCCGCAGTGCCCGCAGGGGGCTGACACTCACACTTGTCATTCATGAACCGCCGGCAGAACTCCTGGAAGGTGCCTCGGTAGCTCATGGTGCGCAGGGAGCGGTGGAACTGGTAATAGGACACCACCAGGTCCTTGGGGTTCCGAGCCATGTATATGACCTGCGGGGGGGAGGGGCGGGGGAGTTAGGGGACTCGGGGGAGTCGCTGACCCCCCGCCCTGGAGGCTGCCCTGCACAGGCTCACAGACCCACGCGCCTCTCCTACCCGACTTGGACCCGGGCCCGCATCACGGCCGGCACCACTCGGTCACTCTGTGTCAGCAGGTGCAACCCCGTCCCCACGGCAGCGTCCGCTAGAACAACGCCCCGAGCATGTGGCCCCATTTCCACCCTCCCTCAACTGTAACGTCACGGACAGGAAATTCGGGTCCCGGCACTGGCGGTGAGGACTGCAGGCCTCGTAAACCGTTAAAAAACGGGAAAAAGCAGCCTGGAACCCTCGGCCTTCGCCGAGTGGAGGCAGCACTTAGGCTGGTCAAGGCCAAGGTCAATTACGGGGAAAAAAAAAAACCCCACCCAGATTAGAAACACAAATACAACGCTAGAGATACAGGCTCCCCCGGGTGTCCACGGCCTGTGCCGGGGTCCTGCTCCACCTCGGTCCTCTGGGGATCGCCGAGGGTGACAGACCAGTGCTAGCGCTTGTTAGGGACCCGGCCAGGGGTCAGGGTTGGGGGTGGGGCGTGCAGAGGACAGAGCGGACCGCAGGGAGTTACCTTGGAATCGCCGTTGTGCAGATCCGAGGGCAGGAAGCGGTAGGGGAGGTGGCTTTTGATGAGGCGGGGAGACGTCAGCTCCTGCAGCAGGGTCGGGGGCGGGGTGGGTCAGAGGCCACAGGACACACAGGTCCCCGGGCCTCTCTCATGGGGCCAGGCGGAGAGGGTCTCGGGTGGTGCGGACATGCACTGCACCTGAAAACCTTCTCTCCGGAGGCGTGCGCACCCTCCAGGCTGAACCTGGGACCAGATGTGAGCGAGACACGGCCTGTCCTCGGGCTCCCCCGGCCATGGCGGCCTGTCACAGTCACCAGGGGCCCGCCACCGGCCCAGCATGGGCCTCGCAGGACAACGGAGGGAGCACGAGGCACAGAGGGGCTCCGGATCCCCACCACCACCACCCGGCACCCAGGCCTGCCTGCGGCTCCCGGAATGGGCCGTGCGTGCCATCAGGCCGGGGCTCGGGGGTCCGCACCCACTGCCCCGACACAGCCGCTCTCCTCTCAGGACCTCCCTCGGCGTCCCCACTGAGAGGCCCTCCCTGTCCAGTCCTGCTTTGCTCCCTGCCTGGCACTGGGCACCCCCGAACGACCGCGCCTCCTGGTTTCGCTCTCCAGTCAGTGGCTCTGCCTACACTGTCGGCCCCACGAGCGCCGTGGCGTCCGTGGTGGGTGTCTGGCTGCACCCCCATGCCAAGAGCTGTGCCGGCTCTCGTGGTCAGCAGCCGGGTGGACCCCAGAGCTCGGCCACAGAGCCCACTTCACACGGGACCTTGGGCATCACAGTGACCGGAATGACGCGGAATGCTGAGCTAGTGGGGGACGGGGTGGACGGGCGATGCCAGAAATGAGACCTGAACCAGAGAGGCGGCAGAGGGGACGATGGAGAGGAAACGCCAGACGCACCGGAGGGACAGAACGGACGGGGCCTTGGGGTAACAAGGGTCTGTTTCATTCTGGACACCACACACTTGAGGCAGACGCATCCCACCCAGCCCCCCCGGAGGACGGGGCGACACACAGGGAGGGGCGGGAGCCCCCCCACCCCTCCGCACCTGCCTCCTGGCCGCCCTGAAGTCACCCACGCCACCCACCAATCTGACTCCAGGGTCACTGTCACGGGCTCAGGCCTGTCTCCTGGCCCCCCGGGGCACTGGCAGCTCCCTGTGCTCCCTGGGCCACAGCGCCCCCTGGGCCCCTCAGGAGGAACTGTCACTCGGGGTGTAAGGGCGGGAGCGGCCGGAAGGGGCCGTGGGGACTGGGCCCCTGTACCTTGATGATGTCCAGGCCCGGCTGCGGGTACTCCAGGACCGGGAGCTGCTCGTCGATGTTCATCAGGCCGATCTCGTCGGGGTCGGCGCCCTGGCTCACCAGGTAGACCACCTCCTGCAGCAAGCTGGTGCCTGGAGGGAAGAGGCCCCGGGGGGGGGGCTGCTCAGAGGGGGCCCCCCTTTCAGGTCAGCACCTGTACCCAAGAGGGGGGCTGAGGACCATGCCGGTGGGCGTCCCAGGAGCACCTCAAGTCAAGTAGAACACACCGGCCTGAGTCCCACCCTTCAGCGGCCGTGGGGGGGCACCCCCTGAGCCTGGGCATGGGGGGGGCGGGCTGCTGAGGCCTGAGCCCTGGCGAGCACCCAGGGCCAGCAGGCAGCCCCAGGGAGCAGGGCAGGGAGGCCCGCACATGGACGCCAGGTCCCTGCACTTCCTCTGGCCCCCGTGTGTGGGCCTCCACTCAGGCTTTCGGCTTGGGGTCACCAGGGAGCCCAGGGCCACCCCGGTCCCCACCCCGCCTGGTGTCTCAGAAGGAGCAGGTACGACCAGCCCATTGCCCCTCAACGCTCCCGCCCCTTCTCTTCGGGGCCTGGGTCTCTGTTGCCGGCCCCTCACCTGTGCACCCTGCAAACACGCACTGACCCACCCCACGCTGTCCACCTGCGAATGCCTGGCACCCACCTGCCCCTCAGCAAACAGCCCCCCACCCCGGGCAGCTGCTCAGACCACACGGAGACTCACGGTGCTCACTCCTCGCCCCTCGTGAACGGCCGGTTCCGCCGTCACGTGATCCGAGGGCACCCTTCCGCCCCTGCCCCGGGGTGGGGGGCCCCACAGCTCTCAGCTCTGCCCAGCTCAGCCCACCCTGGTCTGTTCCCCACGAAGCAGCAGGAGAGGCCGTGCCAACAGGGATGCCCGATCGCCTCCCTGCCCAGTGAAGACCCTCCGCCGGCCCTGCACCTCCCCAGAGCAACAGGCTTCGCCGCGGCCCACACGCCTGCCAGCCTCGCTCCATGCGCCCACCTCTCTGACGCCTCCTCTCTCATCCACCGAGTTCCTCCCGGCCTCCCTGCCAGTCGGGGATGCACTGCCTACATCGGCTGCGCCCCTGCCTGCAGCCCTGTCCTCCCTCCCTCGGGTCCTTCAGGGGGAAGCCTCCCTGACCAGCCACGTGATTAACACTCCAGCCCTCAGCCTGCACCCCTGCCCTCCCCAGGTCACCTGCTGCGCCAACAGCCCAGAAGTGACCTGCACGTTCCTTTATTCTGAATGCACGAACAGACCCTGGTGCGGAGTAATCAGAAAGGGGTGTGTTGATCAAGGAAGACGTCCTGGAGGAGGCAGCTTTGGCGCAAAGGCCCAGAAAGAAGGAAGAAAGTGGTGCAGCGGCTCCTCCACTCAAACAGAAAGAACGTCTGTCCACTAACAGTGGGAGCCTCCCATCCGCCTGAGCGGGGGACCATCACTCCATCTACGGATGCCGCTCCGGAGGCCTGCGTGGGCCCAAGGCCGCAGAGCGGGTGCACGGCCCCACCCCGTTCCTCCTCCTCATGGGGCCCCGTGGGGCCTGTCTGCCCGGCAGCTCGGCGGCATGAGGCGGGGGAGGGGGTGCTGTGCGCTCAGAAATGGACTGTGGGCAGAGTTCCCGAAACGGCCTCCCCCGGCGCCGGCTTCGGGGCCTATTTCTGGTGCTCCCAGCCCGACCCCGGCCGCCCCCACAGGCAGCGACCCAAACCGATGCTCTCCGCCCATTAACATCGACTTACATCAATATCGCGGCGTGTCCATTCCAGAGCCCCGTCCCTGCCCCCACTAAATACCTGTGCCAGAAGGCCCAGCCTTGGGAGGCCGGGGGGAAGCCCTCCCCCCCGCCAGGTCCACTGGCCCCCCAGCGGCCCTCGCTGCAGCCCCCCACCCAAGTCCGTTTCCCAGCGGAGCAGTCCCGGCTTACCTGCTCCGGCCCTCACAGGGGACTCAACAGGAGGGCACACCCCACACCTGCCCGGCCCAGGGAGGGGGCCGCGGGGGCAGGCGGGACCAGTGCGGGGAGCGGGCAGGCAGGAGGTGACACGGGGGTCACAGAAGGCCAACTAGAGACAGTGACACAAACGACACTGGCCCGTCTCCACGAGGCTCTAGACACTCTCCCGGCACCTTAACCGAAGTCCAAGCACACGTTTCGTGCACGCCCAGCCCTGGCTCTGCAAGGGTCCCCGCCAGGCACTGGCCGCGTCCAGCCCTTCCACACCCACTGCCCCAGCCCTAGGTCCCACCCACCCGCCCCCCAGCCAGGGGGCACCCCAATCATCAGCATGAGCCACCCTCAGCCCCTGCATCCACTCTCCTGGCTGTCACGGCCACCCAAGAGCCCCGTGCGGGCCCCAGTGGCCCCAGCACCCCGGGGATGCCCCCTGCTTGGCCTCACCCCGCGCACTCTGTGCTGTGGCCAGCTCTCCTGCACCCCTAGAGCTCAGCACCCCGGGGCCTGAGCCTTCCACAGGGTGCCCTGCCTGCTGGCCAGTGTGGACGTCGTCTTCAGGTCACTGACACCAGAAGCGCCTCAGGTGCTCTGGGACACAGTGCCCAGCCCCCAGCCTCCCGCCTCCCCTGTTCCAGACGCCACCGGGAGGGAAGGCTGGGGTCCGAGCACAGGCCCAGGTCCCGCCAGGCCTGTCCTCTCTGCAGAGCCCCCCCGCCCCGGCTCCGGCCCGTGAGGTCTGGAGTCCTCGCCCTCCTCACTCAGGACCCGGTGGTCTGGCCACCCTCCTGACAAGGGCTGGCCCCAGGAGTGCCTGCCCCCTTCCAGAACATGGGACAATGCCCTCCCTCCTCCACGGGGCTTTGGGGTCAGGGCCCCACGTGACCTCTCGGGGCCGGAGAGGCTCCCTACCAGTGAGCGCCCCTGACACCACCACGGGCACCACTGACCGGAACCCTCGCATGCGAGGCCACGCGCAACCCCCGCCAAACCATGCAGCCCCCCCCAAAACGTGGGAGCCACTCCCAGGGTGACAGGGGACGCTGGGGCAGCACGCCTGAGGCAGGAGGAGGGTTTGGGAGCAAGTCCTGCGTGGGCACAGAGGGAAGGCCCAGCTCAGGTAGCTGGTCCGCAGTCCCGGGAAGGGGGGAGCTACTTCTGCAGCTGGAACCCAAAGCTGGGGGTCCCCACTCCCCACACGGCCTTCCCAGCGTACCCAGGGGGTGGGGGGACAGGGGACATGACGGACTGAGGGAGCCTGCAGGGCCGACGGCGTGACACAGTGGCCACAGCCGTGCTGGCTACCCCTCCGCTCCGGCAGCCCCCCAGACCAGAGGCACAAAAGCAGGTGGGGGCAGAGCAGGGGCTCAGCACCCCGACCCCCACCCCCGCAGTCTGAGCCCTGGGGGCGGGGCGGGGGGAGCACAGGAGGACACGGCAGCAGGCAGCCTGACCCCCAGCACATCCGCGGTGAGGCAGCGGAGAGCCGGGCGCCCCGCGTCACGTCACTGGCAGGGCCGGCAGGGCTGCCGGGCTGAGGGGGGATGCCCGCACAGTCCCCCGTCCCCCGATGCGGTCGTCTACAGAGGAGCTTTCTGCTGACACCGGAAATCACTCCCGTGTGGCGGAAGTGAACTCGGACACGGACCTCTCGGGCTGAGACCCACCGGGGTAACTCAGGGGACTCCCCAGGAAATCTGGGGCCCGGCCCGAGCCCGTCAACATCTCTGCCCGCACTGGGGAGAGGAACCAGCACACTCGGGTCAGAGCCAATGGAACTTCGCGCCCAGCCACCAGGGTTCTGGGGCTGGAGGTAGACTTCTTTTATTTTTACTTTATTACTAACCAAAGTCACACACACACCCAGTTTAAAAAGTCAGAGCATTATTAGCCCTGGCTGGCGTAACTCAGTGGATTGAGCACGGGCTGTGAATCAAAGCATCACAGGTTCGATTCCCAGTCAAGGCACATGCCTGGGTTGCAGGCCATGGCCCCCAGCAACCGCACATTGATGTTTCTCTCTCTCTCTCTTTCTCCCTCCCTCTCTTTCTCCCTCCCTCTCTAAAAATAAATAAATAAAATCTTTAAAAAAAAAGTCAGAGCATTATTAGTGGAACACTTAACAGAAAACCCAGTTACCTCCGCACCTGAATCCCATGCCCAGAGCCAACTCTTGTTGATTCTTCTCACCACAAATGTCAAAAATGTGCTTAGATAGTTACTTCACGATCTATACGTTTTCAGTGGCTTGCTGACTGTCAGCTACGGGAGACCAGGACCTCGCCAAGTTCCCTCCCACAAGCTCCCCTCCTCCCAGGGCCGTCGCAGCCCGACCGCTGGCCCCAACCCCCGTCTGAGTGTTCAGCTCAAAGGACAGCGTGTACTGACTACGCTTCCTTCCTTGCACCAGACTTTGCTTTCCCTAAAGTAAACACTGCCTTTGTTTGCTTGCTTACTTTAAGAAAAAAGATTTCATTTATTTTTAGACAGAGGGGAAGAGAGAGGGAAACATCAATGCACGGTTGTCTCTTGTGCACCCCCTACTGGAGACCTGGCCCAAAGCCCAGGCATGTGCCCTGACTGGGAATCGAACCAGCGACCCTTTGGTTCAAAGGCCTGAGCTCCATCCACTGAGGCGCACCAGCCAGGGCATTTTCCATGATTTTAGAGACAATGAGAGAGAGAAAAAGAGAGACATTAATATGAGAGAGAAACATCATTTAGTTGCCTACCACACACGCCACAACTGGGGATCGAACCCACAACCTGGGTACGTGCTCTGACCAGGGATCAAACCTGCAACTGTCAGTATACAGGACGATGCTCCAACCAACTGAGCCACCAGCCCGGGCGGGGTGGGGGGGTGGGGGTTAAACTGAACTCACGTCCCTGAGTTCTGAAAATCCTGGTTTCAATCATTCCTTCTCTTCCGTACTCTCTCTCTTTCTGAAACCCTGGGGTCTCCCAATTTTCTTAGTTTTTGCTCCTGTTTGCTATCATTTTGCAAAAACTTCTGTCCTTCCTCCACTTGACCATCCAAACCTCACCAGTGGGTTTTCTAAATTCTAGCAACCACCCTTTTAACCCCCAAGAACCCCCTCCCCACCCCGCCGGCTCCTTTCCGGTCAGCGGCGCACTACCCCCACAGCGCGT